ACCCACAAATTAAGAAAATTCTATATCACTCGTGATTTCGACTTTAATGAAAGTGAAAATCATTCTACAACTAATGAGGATTTTAAGTCTTCATCTATAGAGAAGAGAGGATAGGTGATTCCACTACATCTCAATAAACTTATCTACTTCCTTGTGATGAGGAGTCACAATCATAAAAATTAAGTGTAGAAAAAAGATTTAGACATACCTACACGAGAAAGAAGGGCAAACAAATCTCACATATTACTTTAATAAATAATCTAACTCATGAGACTAAATTAAATCCTGCATCAAAACTATAAGAAAATATAGTAAACTTGTAGGTATGCTATGACATCAATAAGAATATTACTTATCCATTACATAATTATTTTTCTTTGCATTGATTATCTATATCCCACTCTTAATTTCTTATGAAAATAGGCTCCATTCTCATTCCACAACACTTAATGAAATTGTAAATAATGCAAAATAAAAAAAAACTATGAAAGTAGAAATGAATACTTTGATTAAGAATAATACTTGAGAACTAGTTAAGCTCTCATGTGATAAGAGACTCGTTGGGCGTAAATATGTATTTACTATTAAATATAAGCTTGATAGAATGGTAGATAAATATAAGACTAGATTAATAACAAAATGATATATCCAAAAATCAAGGATTGATTATGATGAAACTTTTACCCCTGTAGTAAAATTAAACACCATGAGGATTTTAATCTCCATGTAGTGATGATGGGATGACAACTTCACCAATTAGATGTGAAGAACATATTTCTGCATGACTCCTGAATGAGAAGATGTACATAAATATACCTCTACGTTCTAGGAAAGAGAAAAATCAACACATGATGTATAATTAAAGAAGTTTTTATATAAACTTAAACAATCTTTGAGGACATGGTTTGGCAAGCTCTCGATCAATATGCATGAGATGAATTATCACCAAAGTAATGATGATCATACTTTTTTTCTTTAAACACAACTAAAATATAATTTATATTTTATTAATTTATGTTGATAATATGATACTTACTAGTGACAATTGATTAGAAATAGAAGTATTGAATGATAAATTATTTGTGTGCTTTGAAATTAAAAAAATAAAAATATTTTCTTGGTGTAGAAATTACATATTCTAGATGTTATTTTCTTATCTCAATGGAAATATATCTTAAATTTACTTAAAGAAACTAAAACTAGTGGTACTAAACCAACAACCACTCCTATTGACCATGATGAAAAATTAGGTCAAGGTGAAGATAACCCATCAATCGATAGAGGAACACATCAAATATTGATTATTAAATTGATCTATCTATCTCACACTTCACTATATATTACTTACACGGTAAGATTGTTGAGCTAATTTATGCATGACCCTTGAGAAGTACATAATGTTACAACGAGATAAATACTTCTCTATCTAAAGGGTACACTCAATTATGGGCTCTTATTTTAATCATATGGGCATACTAATGTGGAAATATTTACTAACATTGATTATGTAGGTTCTATTGTAGATAGATGATTTACTTCAAGGTATTATTTGTTTCTTAGAAGGAACCTCACCATGTGGCACAACAAGTAGTGGGCAGTGTCAAGATTCAACGGGGAGTTTGAATTTAAAGCCGTGGTGCAAGGTGTGTGTGAAACATTATGGATTAAAAGGATTTTGGAAGATCTCAAGATCCAATATGATTCACTCACGATGCTCATCGACAACAATAAGTCAACTATAAATATCCTTCACAATCTTATACATCACGATCAAACCAAGCACGTAGAGGTGGATTGCCATTTCATCAAGGAAAAGATAGAAAATGAGATTCTCATTATCCAACATGTCAAGTTTGAAGAGTGATGTGCATACATTTTCACCAAGGTACTCTAATAAACCTACAATGAGAAGATTGTTAGGCAAGATGGGAATAAAAGATATTCATTCTCTAACTTGAGAGAGAGTGTTAGAATACTTATATTAGTCCACGTATGTTGAGATATGATTATCATGTCTATTAATGTGAATAATCAGTCCAATTACCTTAGGGCTATCATATCAGGTCACTTACACCCAAAAGATCATTTGATAGCTAGTGATGATGTATTAAAGGATCACAAACCCTAATCCTAAAAGAACAAAGTCTTTTTCTTTCTCTCTCACTCTAGTGGCTCTCTTGTTTGTTCTAACAACTGTGCCCTTATCCAAGATAAGAGAAGCTCTGACAATCATTAATAGTGTCAAACATCAATTGTTAAGACATCAAACATAAGTAAAAAATAATAGGGATGAGTTTGTTATGTGCTATTGAGTCAAAAATTCAAGAATTCAAAAAAAATGAAATAGGATTTATTATTTAAATCAATCAATCATTCTAGGAATGATTTTTTTTTTAACTATTACCGAATGAATTTAACTCTAAGTTTTTTCTACTCTCTCTTCTACCCTAATCAAATGAAATGTTATTTCATTCAATTGTGGTCCCATTTTTTCACTAAGAACTTGAATTTAGAGCTGGTCGAGTTCTAAGTTTAGACCTAGTAAATACTCATACATTCAAATTATATCATTGATTATTTTCTCTATATATTACTCTAGTAGTTAGATCTTTTAAATAAATATTTTGACATTACTCAAATTCTTTTCATAGGATCATCAATTCATTAGTGTATTTTGTCATTGATTTTTTTCATTACTTCAAATTCATCATTTTTAATTTCAATTCATATACTTGAGTCTTGTCATTGGTCTAGAGTATGTTTGATGTAGGTTTTACCAAATATCCATTAATATAGAAAGATAAAAGCATATTATTCTAATTTTGAGGTCATGATAATTAATGGCTATGACATATTTTTTTAGTTCACCTGATCTCATGTTCTGAATTAGGATTATTGACTTTTGGGCTTAGATTTAATGACTCATGAGTCTTTTACTTTTCAATACAATTCTAACTTGTTACGACCATAGAAAGTAGTTTCAGCTGTTTAGATGGTCTTCTTGTGGAATAACAAGTAGTTTTGAGCATACATGTATTGATATTTGGAGCAATCATGTTATAACCCTATATGCCTACAAGGTCTATCTATATTCACCAAATGGTGTCGTTTAATTATTCTTGATAATTAGAACAGCCCTATTATAACCTATACTCTTTGAGAGTTTCCACAGTACCAATTTTGAGATTCAGAGAAGTCCATGATGCATATCAGTCATAACAATATGTCTAAACACACAATTCTTCAACTATTTTTAATCTTTGTTCGAACTGCCCCATTATACTTGTAATATAAGTATACCCTTTGAAGTACCATTATTTCTAAGAGATGGTGCTATTGGGCTCTATGGGCCTGTGTTGGGCCACTCCCTTTTCCCCGTGGCTCAGACCAAACACCCAAGCTGAGTTCGGGGGGTTCGGACGGCCCACTATGCTCCCCAAATGGGCCTATTTTACCAGCCACTTCAGACCCATTTATTTCCCAACTGTTCCATCTCGGGGAACGTGTTGAGGGTTCGGCGAATCCCCTACAGATACCACTTCTCTCTCTCTCTCTCTCTTTCTATCTATATATCTATATATCTATCTATTTATCTATATATATGATGGGGGAGAACGAGAAGACCCCTGGTTGTGGGAAGGGGCGTCGGAGGAGCTGCAAGTTCGGCGTATTCCTCGCCGGCTCCGGTGGTCGGATAGTTCCCGGTCATGCGGATGTGGAGATGACGAGGAAAAGGGAACTCCGGCGAGCGGAGAGGGGGAAGGGCGTGGGTTTCCGACAGCCGCCGCCGTGGGGGGCTCCGTAAGGATCCAAGGATTCCCACTGCGACGGCTTTCTCTCCGGTCAAATCTTCCGGCTCTCCGTACGGGAAGTTTGCAGAGTTTGCCTTTTCTTACTGCTTTTTCTCTTTTTTTTGTCCGAATCGGACCACTTCGGTTGCCACTAATATATGTATGTATTTCTTTGTGTTTGTAACTTTAACTGGGATTCTAGTAGTATAATCGTCAACGGGCCGGGCCCGGAAGTTCTTGCAAGATTACTCGGTCGGGCCAGGCCCGGAAAATGGGTGGGTGGGCTTGAACTGAAGTCCCGGATGTGAAGATTACCTGTTGGCTTAGTTTTGAGGTAAAATTGGGATGCACCGGAAAAATTGGTCAAGATCTCGGCTCACCCTGACGTTATATATGAATAGGGACCCTATTTCAAATTCGCACGTAATTTGGTCCTGATTTAGCAAAAATATCCCAGAACACTCAAAGTTAGGCAATTAGATTAGACCTCTAGTTAGTTTTCTGGCATGAGAAATATTGGTTCAGATTTTCTATGTAGGATATTTGACCAATTATGTCATTCTAGAGACCTTTTTCTTAAAATGCTTGTTGAAAAAAAAAAAGTTCGGATTGATCGAAGTGCAGTTGGGCCTCTTCTAATTCTAACAGAGATCGATGGGTCATCTCTCTCTCTCTCTCTCTCCCTCTCGCCAGATGACAATTCTTCCTTTTCTGTAAAAGAATTAGGGTTTTGAGACTTCAACCGGTTGCGGTTTCGTGTACCCCCATCTTCTTCCTTTTCCTCTTCAAGATCAGTCAAGATGGGCAGCAAGACTGCGAGCTTTCCTCCCATTCCAGTAGGAACCAAATGGTTCCGTCCCTTCTTCCCCTGATGATCACTCTGCAGCTTGGTCTCTGGTGCGCCAGATTCGTTCAAGAGTCATCCTCTTCTAATATCATCTTCTTCAGAAACTCCTGCTCCTCCGATGCGTAGGATTTGAAAAATATGAGCTCCTCAGTCCTCGAGTCAGAGAAATAAACTTTACTTCTTATTAAGCAAGTATTACAGATAAATCTACCAAATCCACACGAACAACCCCTAGGTTAATATGATAAAAATTTACATGTTCACGGCAGACAGGAGGAAGGAGAGGAAGGAGGAGAAGTAGGCGGCCGCTAATGGATGGTTAACGGGGAGTAATTTACACCAAAATAATGATCACATGGAGGTCACATCCCATGGAGCTCCACCCAATCCATCATGTCAACATAACTGCCGTAGTCTTCGTGCATGTACAAGACGAGGTCCTCTTCCGCCGCCGCCGCAGCCGCCGCTGCCGAGGGGACGGCAGCGGCGCCGGGCTCCCCGAGGAGGGGCTTGTGGGCTTCCATGGATGAGGACGAGATGGGGCTGCCGCTGCACCTCTCGCTGCAAGAGGCTGAGAGCTTGGCTATCTCCTTCTCCGCCTCCGAGAGCTGCTCCTTCAGCTTCACCACCTGCGGATGTAATATGATCAGAACCATCCGCTGCGAATTCTTCATTGATGTAAGAGAGAATAGATGGATAAATGGAGGAGGGATGGTAGTTTTTCCGAAGGGATCGAGATGAAAATGGATGCGGGGGATAGTGTTCGGTCCGAGATTTGGGTGTAAGAGAGTACAAGTGGAAAATACATAGATAGAAAGATACACATCTAGAGAGAGAGAGAGAGAAAGATGAATAGGAGTATCGCAATGACCTATTTGCTTGTTTTCCCTTCCCGGAGTTGGAAAATCAGGCAGATCAACCCAAAATCAACTGATAGCGGCCGAAGTAAGCCTATTTAACGGGAGAAGTTCACAAAGAGAGAGAACGAGAGAGAGAGAGAGGAGGAACCACCGGAGGACCAGACGAGAGGAGGCGAGGGTCATCTGGATGAGTTGTATATCTTGTTTTCATTTCCTTCAGTTTTGAACTAAGAAAGTCAGGAGACACGACCTGGAATCAAACGGTATTGAGTACGTCTATCGTACGTGTAGTTTCCAAATCTCTGAGAGGGGGAGGGAGAGAAGAGAGAAAGAAGAAAAGGAGAGAGAGAGAGAGAGAGAGAGATTTCACAGTAGGAGAGGCGATGGAGAAGAAATCCTGCTTTCGTCTGTTTCCTTTGGAATCATTTTTTTCCTTCTCAGATAATCAGTTCGTCTCACTCTCAGATCAATTGTCTTGTGGTATCTTGCAGTCGATGAGAGATAAAGAGAGAATGTGAGGAGGGAGTGAGGGAGGGAAGGAGGAGGAAGGGAGAGAGAGAGAGAGACCTCGGCTTCAAGTTGGCTCTTGTCGACGAGGACGGCATCGTGCATGTACTGGAGCCGTACGTACTCCTCCTCAATCTGCTTGCTCTTCCACCTCGCTCGCCGGTTCTGGAACCACACAGCCACCTGCTTGGGGTCGAGCCCTAGTTCCGCTGCCAGCCTCGCCTTCCTCCCCGACTCCAGCTTCCTCTCTCTATCGAAGTTCATCTCCAGGAACTTCACCTGCTCCTCGCTCAACCGCCTCTTCTTCGCCTCCTCCCCCGCCTTCGCCTTCTTCCTCCGCCTCCTCGTTCTTCTGTTCATCTCCCCTGCTCACATCGAAATCCCTCATTCAGAGAAAGAGAGAGAGAGGTAGAGAGTTCAGCGACAACTGAACGATGTGCTTTTTCCATAGATTCAATTTCTCAACACTTTATATTTTCCGCTCATTAATTTTGCAATTTAATCCTATATATCAGCATTGTTTTCCAACTATAAAGAGCGAGCGAGCGATCGAGAGAGAGAGGCCACTGAATCTAGAGGAGAAACGGACCTTGGGGCAGCTCGTTATTCACGCAGGAACTCATGAGAGAGGAGACCACCATCGGTTCCTCCGCTTGGTTATTGCTCATATCCGCTCGCTCTCCCGATCCAGCTCTCTATACTCTACTTATTATAAGTAACGAAACCCGCCCTTCTCGCTCTTCCTCCTCTCCCCCCACTCTCTCTCTCTCTCCTGCGCTCCTCCACGGTAGGCCTTCTACCTCCCCTTGTTGCCTTCTCGGACGACGATCAAGGGGCGAAGGACCAGAGGGCCTTATATGGGGATGGGTTCCCATAATACCCCTCATACAGGGCAAGAATGCCCGGAGCACCGCTCCGAGACAACTCAAAGCTTCCGTATGCATCCCCCATCTCGGGGGCCCACACGAGTGCCGCCATCCACGGCGGCGAGAAGGGCAAGACCCCGCCGTCTGTCGCCGGAGAGAGTTTTTTCCTACGTTTGGGCGTTTGGGGAAGAAGGAGAGCGGCATTGTTGTGGAAGACAGAGTTAGCCCGGCTCCAAACTAGTGTACTTCTTGGCTAAAAGGTAGGACTAGATCAGACCGTCATGTATACTACCAAGCCGATCATAAGAGTCGTTTGTCAACTAGTTAGGTCAACGCGGCTTCATGATTCAGACTGTTGATGACGATGTTAATCCTGTCTGAAATCGGGTCGTTAACAATGACTCGATGTCTGAAGCCTAAAGATGAAGATAAGATGGACCAAGTCATCAAGATTTACATGTTAAAATTTAGCAAAGTACCGCGATCAGAGTAAAAACCTACGAAGTAAACCGAAAAGCTCTGTAGAGTTTGACCTAAAGTTCAGACTCTATGGTCCTTGCCATATGGCTACACTACAATTGTGCACATGGAACAATGCCTCTCTCTCTCTCTCTCTCTCTCTCTCTCTCTCTCTCTCTCTCTCTCTCTCTCTCTCTCTTGTGGATAGGTGAAGATGGAGGGCCGGGCCCAACCAGGAGCCATTTTTCGGCGTACTTCCGTTATGGGTGATGCCCCACACATCTCTGACTCGTGAATAAGATGCCATGAATGTACGACATTATGTAATAGAAATTCAACAGAAACCCTGACTCTGAACAAAACTAAATTTTTTATACATGCTCGTGCTTATGAGAAGGAATAAAATAAGTCACCGCCTCCACCAAACTTCAGTGCACGCCGCAAGAAGTGTCGTGTTCGACCCTCTAACTGAAGGATCAACGACCGTTTAGGAACATCACGAAGTCCGAGAGAGGTTTCTAGTATATAGAGAGAGAGAGGAGGGGAGAGAGAGAGAGAGAAAGGATCCTTGCCCACAGAATCAACCCAAAACGTCTACCTTCTTCCTCCACCGCCTCAGGCATTTCTCTCCTCCCCCATCATCGTGTTTGGTCCAGCAAACGCTGTTATAGGCCCGGACGGGAGAAAGAATACCCACCACTACTCACTCACTCAATCACTCACTCTCTCTCTCTCTGTCTCTCCCTCTCTCTCTCTCTTTCTCCTTAAAACGACGACGTACGGACGTAAAGCTTTCGCTGTGCGTCCTCGTGGGGTTGTGACTTCTCTGGCTTTCGTCCCCTCCAAGGATCCCCCACACCTACAGAGCCTTCAACAGGAAGGGAGAGAGAGAAGGAGAGTACTTTCCAAAGTCAAATCTGTCCAACGATCACTATATATCAAAACTCTTCGACCAATGATGTCGTTCGATAGCCTCCCCAAAATTCTTTCCCAGTATAGGAAATTTTCGTGTTTTATCTCAGCCGTATGATCACAGTCTTCGGGATGTGTGGAGAGTACGACGTGACGCGATGAGATTTTTTGGGGTCTCATGTGCACTATGATCCCCCAGGACACTGCATACAAACCCCCACGTGTGACTACCCTAGATTCTGTACTCTTCCAATTAAGATTCCGAAGAAGTATCACATAATTTATCATTATATCCTTAAATATTCGTCAATGTGATCTGGATCATTTTTCATTGCGGGTTCCATTTTCAACTTAAAAGCTTTACATGTTAATGAATTTTCCCATCAAACTTATAGTTTATATGGTGCGAATGAAATCAGAGCATATACTCTAATAATATTAACATCAAACTTATAGTTTATAAGCTTTACATATGTGACATTTTTTTTCTAATTTTTGCAAGTTAACTCACGTCTAGATCGATTAGTCTAAGAAGGACAAATTTGTCTGGTATATATGTCATTAACTTAAAGGCGTAACAAATTCCCATCTAAAGTAATAAAAAAATATTTTATATAGTGAAACATGAAATGAATGGAGTCCAAAAACGGTGACGACATGATTCCGTGTTACATAGTAAATTCCAAATGTAGAAAAAGAAAATCATGGAATTTCAACGACCAATACATTGGAAATATTTTGGTATCAATGTATGCTGCGATTTTAATGATCATTTTCAAGTGAAGTACCAAATGATCACCACGAAAATAAATAATATTTTTTTTTTCACATCATATATGCAAAAGTTTGAATTTTTTTGTTTTTTTTTGCTTAAGCTTTAAAAAATATAACGAGAAAGTTTTCCTGAAATTTATCATATCCTTTAGAGATAAACTATCAAAACAATGCATCTCACTTTTGTAGACCCTTGCACTTTACTCATGATATAAACTGGCTTCAAATCCAACAACAAAACGTGATGGATGCATAACAGGCCAATGCCATTGTGTCTCTTAGTATGATCATAGTTAGGTATGATAATTTGAATTTGGCCATACAAAAAAAATTGTCCTAATTTAATGGCCTCATCAGCCAGTACGAGGGTATATGATCATAGTCAATTTAGCTGTACAGTTGATCGGTCAACCTGGTCAACCTGTTTTGGATTCCAATTTTTATGAGCAGTGCATAACATAATCTAGTTTAACTGTTTTAACTTTTATTAATTGGGTACTTCGCGTGGGAAAATAAGAGAAACTAGGAAACACCCATTGAGTACGCATTTATTAAAATATTTAAAAATAAAACACATAATTTTGAATATTCACGTGTCAATGTCAAATTATTAGACATTTTTCGTTTTCGGATAGTAATCGAGACATCCCCTGAAAATGGTTATAAAATAAAATGAAAATATCCTTCATTCGGAGATAATTGGGGTCTTGACAGTTTTACTGTTTGTATGAGGAGAGATATCAGCCATATTAGAAGCGATTTATTCGTTCGTCATCTTCCATTCTCGGCAAAATTCGTCGTTGCACCTGGCACGGCGAGCGGGAAGACCAAGTGAGGGTCGATGTAACTACCTAAAAGAGTAAGGCGGCAGGATTCAGACAGCGGAATCTAAGCTGAGGCCGTGAGATCGTCGGAACCCGGACACGAGGATCGATCTATATTGGGAAAGCTGCTGGGATCCAGGACCTCTTCGGGGATGGGGGAACCCGGCTAGATATCCACGTGGAGGAGCTGCTAGGTTACAAGTGGCGGCCAGAGGAACCCCCTACGTGCATGGCCACTGGCGAACCGGCACTCGCCACGCATCAGGTGTCGTCACGCATCCTCCGTCAGCTCGGCGAGGTAGTTTGCTCTTCGTCCCCATGAGTGTAAAGCAGGTCCCCTCGACCTTTCCTCTGAAAGGCTGGGTAGAGCAGTCATAAATGATCTGGCCTTGTCTGGTCCTCACGATCTCCCTCTTCATCCCCTCTTAACCAGAAGAGAGATAAAGAGACAGAGAGATGAGGAAGAAAGAGAAACAGTAGAGTGATAAAGTGTTGCCCATCCTCTTCTCCATACATTGAACTTGGAAGTGGGTGAGATCCTATTGCCATCCACCATCATAACCAGGATAGAGGGAGAGTGAGTGAGTGAGTGAGTGAGTGAGTGAGGGAGGGAGGGAGGGAGGGAGAGAGAGAGAGAGAGGGAGAGAGAGAGAGAGAGAGAGAGAGAGAGAGAGAGAGAGAGAGAGAGAGAGAGAGAGAGAGAGAGAGAGAATATAACTGATGAATTACTCACTGCCCCCTCCCTTCTTTCTGTGCATTGAAATTGAAGGTAAGTGAGACCTCCTGCCACTCTTCAATCCACAGAACTTCGTCAGAGTGCATTTTCTGTCTACCTCTCCCCCCCGCCCCCCCCGCCCCCCTCTCTCTCTTTCGTAAGGCTATGACGGAGACAGAGAGAGAAAGTTCACACTGATGGGCTCCGCAGAGCGGAGGGGGGGAGCCGCAAAAATGGTGATCACTTTGTTCTTTTGTGAGGACGAGGATCTCATCCACGAACTCTACTACTTCCCCCACATGCGGCTCAAGTCGTGGTGGGGTTGGTGGTGATGGGGGAGGGGTGTTTGGTCTCTTAAAAAGCTTACTGCTGCGGGGTAGCTCGTCCTGGACACCCAGGGGCCCCGTTTCTCGACTTCACGTCAAGATGCCATGTTCCAACCCCCAGGGGGAGAGAAAGAGAGTCCCACACTGGCAGAGAGCGAGATAGGTAGATAGATAGATAGCGAGAGAGAGAGAGAGAGAGAGAGAGAGAGAGAGAGAGAGATGCGATGGTTCAACCCCATTGTCTGGTTTCCTTTTGTTGTCTGTACAGTCAGAGAGATAGATAGAGTGAGAGAGAGAAGAGAGGGAAGGAGAGTAGGGAAGATGACATGATATTCAACCCCTCATCGACTGTCCTGGTCACCGGTACACACAGCGAAATATGCCTCGATTTACCTGAATTTTTGGTGTCCATGTACTTTCGAAGAGAGAGATCGGTGATTACTCCCATTGATTAGCCTCCTTCCCTGTACCGTCGGAGATATATATATATATATATATATATATATATAGTTTTTAAATTAAAAATAATTAGAAAATTGAAGATACTTCATCAGAATGGCAATAAAAGCCTCATCCTTCAATTTTTTCGGTGCAATTTTATTGCATCGCCAGAGTTTGGTACCAAGAGGATTGATCTCTGGTCAACAGAACTGGTTGGATTCCAGCCTGCCACGTAGCCGAATCGTCCAACACACCAGCACCCCACGTCGCCAGTCGCTAAAACTGACCTAACTTTCGGTGACGTCAGCCGTCTTTGTCGCTACCCTTCGCCGTTGATATCTCCGGGGATGTGGGGCCGCAACTGGACCAATGGGGGAGTCAGATTTTAGCACGCAGTTCGAAGCATCCCAAGGTCAAAAGTCGTTGTCCGCGTCATCACTCCCCATGGGAACTGTGCCGGCGAAAGGAGCCGTCTTTTTGTGGGGGATCGAAGCGCCTTTCAGCTGGTTGGGGCCGCAGCTTTTTATCTCCCACGCCTTGATTTGATGGTTGTGTTAGCTCTAATTTGGCAAAACTTTATAAGCCATGTATTTTAATATCCACGTCGTTATATTTCCGAATCTTGATGGCCCAGCTAATAATAAAGATTAATAATTAAGTTTTTACTCCCACATTGCATAAAAATTATTTCAAAATATTTATCGTATAAATATGACCCCTGGGGCGGGGGTGGGTGAAAGGGAGTAAGTATGGGGGTGCTCACGTGGGAGATTTAATGGGGCAGATCTGACGGGCTCTAGAACTTAATCGCTTACTACCAAATGGGGAGTAGGTTCAGAAGTAAATGATTATTAGGGGGGTAAGAGCAAGTAAAGAAACAAATGGAGGGAGTTATCTGTCATTGTTGGAGTATGGAAGGATATAAAACCAAAAACAAATAAGAAATCGCTTTATTGTGTATGGCTCAAAGCTTGTACTTTCAAAGGGCTGCATGGGGCAAGAGAGAGAGAGAGAGAGAGTAGTTGGGAGATCACGGGAGGGCAAAGAGATCATAAGTTTCCCCACATGTTAGACTAGGAAATAAGAAGACAGAGTGCTGCGTTGGCAGTGCTCTCTTGTCCTCTTACTGGTAAGTGGGTTGGCGGGGGAGGCGTGGGAGGGAGGCTCCATCTCCATGGACAAGAAGAATATCTGCCGATGAACAAAGAGAGAGAGAGAGAGAGAGAGAGAGAGAGAGAGACCCTCATTCATACTGAGAGAGGGTTGCTTTAAGAAGACGTCCAAACCTGAAAAATCTAGAGACCAGATTTGACAAACCGCAGATAGCATTAAAGCCTCGGTCGTCTTCCCCCCTCCCTCCCTCAGTCCTCTCCCAACGAGGAGGCTTCGTCCTCGTCATCAAGATTATTAATCTACTGGTTCTGGGTCTCTCAGGAAGAGCACGTGGGCTCGCTGGCTGCCTCACCGAAAGTGCTTCAAGGCGTCCAAGCCCACATCGCAGGAGACTCTCTCTCTCTCTCTCTCTCTCTAAGTGGGCATCTTGAGCCACCATCGACCTCATCTCCGTCCCCCTCCCCCACCTTCCCTCTCTCCTCCACCCACCGAAGAGAGGACAAAGCCTTGGGCAGTGCTGGCGGGGATAAGGCGCAAGGACGATCCTGAAGGCTGGCGAACCCGCCCAGTGCGCAGGCAGAGTCATCATGCATGGGGCTGCATGTAAAGACCCGCTCCAACCCCCATTCCCTCACTCTCTCTCTATCTATCTATCTATCTATCTATCCGTTTATGTCTTTCTGGGTCGTCGGTGAAGGTCGGGACCGCCGGGGGGGACAACGGGCAGGGTTCTCTGGCCGCCATGGGAGAAGATGGTAGTACGAGAGTATAATTGTATTACTACCACCGACGAAGGGGATGAAGGAGAACAGAGGACCTAGTTCCTACGTGAGAGAGGGGTTCGACTAGATGCTTCCCCCTTTCCCTTGCTTCCTCTTAGAGAGAGGAAGAAGAGAGAGAGAGAGAGAGAGAGAGAGGCAGGGGGGGGCACCCCGTCTCTCCCAAGAAGATGGGGGCTGAGTGGGAGCTAATAAAAACCCTGGCGTGGGCCAGGCCAGCTGGTTTGGACTGATGCCTAGCTTGTCATATTCACCTGGAGGAAGCCGGCCGGGTTGTTCGTCTTATCCAGTCCATCATTGGCCGTATAACGACAAGCATCTATGAATGTTAAAGACCGCAGACCCCAGTGCCCCCCCCTCCTCCAAACAGAGAGAAAGAGATAGATAGACATAGAGATAGAGATAGAGAGAGAGAGAGAGAGAGAGAGAGAGAGAGAGACTATAAACAGCCGTGAATAGATACCACGTTCCCCAAAGAAAGGGGCGAGTGCAAGGGAGAGAATATAAGCAAGTGGGTGAGGTGTAGAGGCTACTCTTAGGAGGCTTGGAGAACCCTAAGATTTGGGGACCAGGAGGGGGGATGTGTGGGGTGTATGGATTTACAGATGCCAAATCCAAATTAGCGTTGAGAAAACAATCCTGCAGGAACACCAAACAGATGGATGATCATTAACTGTTCTACAGTGCAAGTGAAGAAGCCATTCAGCAAGAAAAAGATCAACATCGGCGGGTGGGTGGGCAGACGCAGGGACTTGTCGCCTTAATGCCCACCAAGATATTACACACAGTACTCTAAGCGAGAGAGAGAGAGAGAGAGAGAGAGAGAGAGGGAGCAAATGAAGAGGAGGGGTCAGGTGGTTAGAGGTAATGTGGGGAAAGAGGGAGGATCAAGGAGAGTTCAGTCTTCTTTCTGATGCGATGAAACACGAGGAGGGTCATTACCGTTCAAAGCAGTGTGGTAGACTCGCTTCTCTGCCAGTCCGATGTCTGATAGCGTCATATTCCCCTGAAACCCATCGGAGATTAGATGAAATTTCCTCGGTGGGCGTCAAGATGCAGATATGTTAATGGAACACGGACATATGATATAAATATGCATGCGTGTATGCATATATGTTTATGCTAATAATGTTAATGCATCCCTGAGATAGATAACATAATATTGAAAGGACATAAGTCAGACGAGAGGTCATTTAATAAAAAATAGAATAACGGGATTGGAGAATATAATCATGAGGAGCTCTGATAATGCTAAATTAAAAGAAAATAAAGAACAATGGAGCTAAACAGCATGATCTCGATGACACAAAGAAGAACAAATAAGCAAATCGGCTGTCTTGTTCGATTGATGCTTCATTCTCTGACGATGAAAATTTTGACTAAGAATCGAAGAGTTTCACTATGGTAAATGACCCAACAGATGAAAATTCATGTTCTAGATTTAATATTAATTGAATATCAATTACTTCTTAAAGAGTTTTTTTTTTCTTGAGAAAAATCTAGACGTTGGCATTGTTTTCCGGAGATGTTGAGAAAATAATCGAAGGTAATATCTCATGATAGTTGGGTACCTCTGTAGCCATTAATTTGCGAACACTGTTGGCATAGAATTTCGGATCCTCCATCTCTTGCTGGGATGGGTAGTACACAGGAAAATGAAGAACTTCGATGTGATTCACGAACTGGCAAAGAAGGAAGATAACATGGCGTACCTGCAAGTGAGCATGAGAAAGATGAAGGGGACCTCACTGGGAAAATAAGACCCACAACTCTTCACTATAGAGACGTACGAAGAAAATCGAAAAGATAGAAAGATTTCTCGAGAGAGTCTCCACTCCCCGCAATAATAGGAACATACAACGCCGAAAGAACAAATCAAGGACTTAAACTGAAACTTTGAAATATCTTGCATTTAGAACAGAAGGTAATCACTTCTTTGCCAGACTGGTTAGAGGCTCATGGCGGGCATCAATCAACCAGACAGAGCAACCAGAGGGATAGAACAAAGAGGAAGACTCACCCCGGAGATACTGTCCCAAGCTGGGCTGAATCTCCCGTAAGGGTACCGCAGAACCACTGGGAGCACAGGAACTTTTGCCAGGAACGCACCAGTCTTGAACGGGAGGAGGAAATCTCCATTCGTGGTTGTGCCCTCTGGAAGTGGAAACAAATGGAAAATATATTAAATATTGCCCTGTATGGTTCGAACAAATGTGCAGGGAATCAACCATTAGAGTCATCAAAGAGGGTGAATAAAATTCCTTAGTAATGCATGCTCTGGAGGGGACTAGACAAGAGAGACTTTGTTATGATCGAAGTGTCAAGGGAGAATGCAGATAAGTTCGACGAAAGAAAGCCATAGGGACAGGCCACATAAAGGAAGCTTTGGTATCACGGGCAGTGTCATGGAAAGATACAGAAATTTTCAGAGAAAGAAAAAAAAACTAAATATAAAAGTACTATCTGAGCGTCAAAGACCTGTGAAAGGGATAAAAATCACGACAAGATCCATAAGTGAGAATCATAAGAATTCAGATCAAAGAACCATCTAATCTTCTTTAGCCGTTTATAGATAATAAACAAGAGTCTTAGCTCTAACGAGAGTTATGCACAAAGAACGCATTTCACAGGAATTTTCCTGCAAGGCCATAAAATGTTGGAATCCATTTTGCTTCCAATCTTCCAAATAAATAAATTTTTTACTTGAAAATATTTATAGGGCACTGCATAACTCAAGAGTCATAGGAGGGTGTATGGATTACTCAAGAGTCATTTTTTTGCGAAACTCTTCCATTTATCAGGATTTCATTAATTTTTTAAACTTTTTGTGACTAAAAAAAATGAATTTCCTCGTGTTACCAAAGTGAATCCCGTTTTACATCCCTGAAATTGTCAAGATTTATTTCCTTTTTTAAGTTAATGCTGATCCAATGTGATGTTGCATCTCAATAGCATATATTTACCTTCAAAACGAAGAATCAATGCACAAACCTAAAAATAAGTAATAAACAGAATCAATTGATAACTTAGCAATAAAGATAAGATTTATTGCTAAGATAAATAACCTGTAAAGCACAGTATGTACTCAATATACCACTAAAACGTGTACTCACCTGGGAAAAGCAACATCATCGGTGAGAAATCATTTTCGTGAGCTTCTAAAACCCTTTCCATGATAACACCTGTAAAAAATGAGCTCAAAGTCAATAGCCAAATGGGATTCACTCCAAAGATGCCACTCTGAGGGCATTGGCATGTCATAAAACTTAATTAGTGAATGGGAACCTAGCCTTGAAGAGGAAATCCAAGTGTTATGTTTATCACCATTTGAACCAGAAGTGAATGTTGGAAAGATCCACATATTTTGTAAAAACGTCAGTTGATTCCAAATATTTTGTGCTACATAAGCACGAAGATCGAGGTGTTTTTCGAACAATCTGCGATTGAAGTCCACAACTTCTCCCAGATAAGTAATATCTACGAAGTTGAGTTCCACTGGCGGTTTTAAACATGTGCCACGAAGCACGTGTCCTTTATGCTGTCAGTAACCCAAAACATACGGCCCAAAAATAAAGGCTCCCCCCCATAAAGGACATCCATTGGAATTGGTAGAACTCAGTGAAAGGTACTCTGTCCTACGGATTCAAGATCAACCCAATTCAAGATAAAAGACAGACAAAGATACAAATGGCAAGCGTCCTTATAGGAGCCACCATTGTGGATGAAAACTTGGGGATGAGGGTATTGGGAGTAAAAGTATTCCTTCCTCAATTTTTACGCATAAGAGATCCAACTAAAGAGAAGACTGGTCCTAGTTCCTGTAACAAAAAGAAATTATCGGCTCTTAGTTTTCCAAGACTAAAGACTGATGGATTTCGGGTGCATTACCTGAGACACCCTGAGAGTCGGATGATTTTGACTCCCTTTGGACATAGACACAACCCAGGCACTTGCTGCAAACGAAGAACATCAAAAAATCATTACCCAAAACAATTTGGATTATTGGTGAAGCATAAATATGACAAGTTAGAAAAGGGTCTAAACTGACTGTACCCAGGATGACAGAAAAATCTTGGGGGAAAATTTTTATTCGATACAAGAATTTTTTTTAATCCTTCACCCATATTGCATGTGCAGAGCCCAAATGAATCTTAGTAAAACTGTGATACTTGGAAAACGGGATGATTGTCAAACAAACTGTACACAAAAACCCCTCCCACTTGCCATTTCTTATATCAAACCAAAAACTGCATCAACTTAATGAGGAAAAAGAGACACCAGCCATTTAAATAGACATTCTCAACATATTCTTCTCAAGAAATCATGAGGTAAAAGCAGGAAACCAAGGTTGTTTTTCACGATTGAAAAAAAAGAAAACTGAAAATAGATGCTCAATTTCTCCAATCTCTCTCTTTTTGATAAGTTGAAGGGAAACCCATCATACAAGGAATGCCAACAACTGGGCAACCCAAACATCTTAAAGGAAATGTGCTCTGAGGATCAGAATAGCCCATACTTAAAAATAAAACTAACATCCGAAGCTCATTCGGGTAAATGCCTTGACAAAATAGCAAATAATCTTCTATTGAACGAAAATGTGAATAAGAGTAAGAGTAAATGTGAATAACATATATCAAGCAAATAAGTGTAAGGACGAACCTGATAAGACCAACTAAGGGGAGCTTAGCAACTGATCTCTTCAGCAACAAAATACAGTAGAAAAATTGATGAGACAAAAGAGAAGATGTCAGTAGGCAGCGAAAAATCCAATTAAGTCTCATGAAACTGCAAGTTAACAACATGTGCCAGAGAAGTTGATCCTATAAAGTACCTACCTTTGCCACAAAACTGGGGAAGGAAGACGACATATGATACAAGATATCTAGATAAGACACATGGTTGGATACAATTGCCGCTGGTCTCCCACGTTCATCAGACTGTACCACAGACGTATTCTGAACAAGATAGAAGATGAAATATTTGAAAGAAAATTATAAATTATGAGTTCAACAGAAGATAAAGAAAATTAAAGGTATAAATTGTTGAAATGTTCTCCCTGAGATACCAAATGAACACGTCTGGTCAGGCATATTTTCCAGAAAAAAGAAAAACAAGAGGAGCGGAGTTTATTCATGTAAAGACAAGTGATCTTTGTACATTTAAAGTGGATATATGCAAGGAAGAAATTTCCCAAATTTGGAAGATTTACACTTGCAATAAGAAACCAAGTTGCTTTTGCAATAAATAAATCACGGAAGATAGATTTGGTATCAGAATGCCTAATTTTCAGAGGTAATCTCCCAGGAGATTCAGCTAAACAATCAAATCACAGCAAAACACTGAGTTTTCAGATCGTGCACTCCAATGCTTGGAAACGAATTATAGCGGGAAAAAAGTCGCAAGTTTTCAAAAAAATCCTATTCATACTGAAAAGATATTCTCCTAGAAGACAATTAATATTGACTTACAGGCACGCCAGCAGTCCTGTTTCAGTCTTAATCCAACTCTACCATCTACAAACGAGACATTGAACTTCCCAAATTCGGATACAAAAAGACACGTCAAACTATTCAAAAACAGCATTTACTTCAGATGGTGAGATGGCAAGCAATCTACATAGTTAGAAGGAGATGCATCTGATATGAGTTTCAATTATCACATACATACTAATAACGTGAGATTTAATTGTTGAAAATGGAAACGCAACAATATCATAAGACAAGTACAATTCAACTTTTTTTTTAGCACTGTGTGCAAACTTGTCACAAGTACATGAACAAAATATTCATGAGAACTGAAACCATAGATCAAAACAAGAAAATGGGATGAGGGGTCTTCGATAGGTGGTTAACAAATAAGAGTCGGCGTGTGACCAATGGGTAGAGAATAGTAAACCAAGAAAGTGGAACAAATCTCCATGTAGCTCACGTACAAAGTGGAACACGTCGATGACTTTTATACTAAACGAAGTTACTTGACCAGTTGGACTAAGTGAGTCATGAACATCTCCACAGGTTAAGGTTGGACGTTCCAAAAGAATAGAAATACTTTGAAACAAAAGAAGAAAAACATTTTCATGTGAAACAATATGTGGGAGGGAAGCTTCTCTTCTGCAGGGACCTACATTATTCTCACGAGTAAAATTTGAAAGACGTATTGACCATGAATAGTGGTTTGACACAGCGCACCAGAATAATTCCCCGAAGTTGATAAGTTGTTCCATTCGTGTGGTGTGAGTTAGGACGAAAGATAGATCAGAAAGTGGGGAGAAGAATCTACAATTTCATGAGGAGAAGTGAGCGACCAAAGACGAGAAGAAGAGAAGGCACCCGGTGTCATTCTTATTCAATGTCTTATGATGGAAAAACATTGTTGCTTGTGAGGTGATCAGTCCACGTCCACCAAACATTTTTATTTAACTAAAAAAGATAGCAAGCTAACTGAATGACCAACAAGTGACAAGGTAACAAAATAATCAACAACATAGTACTTGAGCATTACCTCCAATAATGACTCCTTAATCCAATAGAACCCGAAAACGAACAGCATTGCCCTGGAACAGAACCGTCCAGACCGCACCACCACCTCCCTCCTCCAGCCAACCATGTGAGCATAGTCCTCCTGCTCATCCTCCCGATTGGGATCCTTGAAAAGCGTGCACACTCGGCAGATCAGGTAATAAATCACCAAAATGGCCGTCCCAGCGATGAACCGGATCGGGACGAGAGTCACGAGTGCAAGCAAGAGAAGCAACTTCTCCCGCAGCGGCAGCTCCCCTCTCCCCATCACCCCATACGCGTCCCTCCGCACGTACGGCGCATACTTCCTCTCGAGCTCCTCCACACTCTCTGAACACGTGGGGACCCCAGAGGATCCGGCGGAGACGGATGAATCCGCCTTGAGCAGAGGCCGCTCGTCCCTCTCCGATCCGCCACCTCGCCGCGGCGACTCCTCGCACGGCACGACAGATTCGCTCTTCCCTCCGAAATCATTCAGCTCGCACTCCATCGCAGAAGATCCCTCCGCGATCCCTAGTTCCAGAAGAATCGCATTCCGACGTGCGATTGCATCACCTCCGGCAGTTTCTTCCCGGAGAAGCAGCCAGCAGCCGACGGAGAACCAGCGCCGGCGGCGACCGGGGATTCCTCGGGGGATAATTCCGAGAGGACCGCATCCAATCAAGCTCTCCAGAAGAGACGATCACCCGGATACGGTTCTTTACACGTACTTCAACAACGGCACACGAGTGAAGCAGAGAACTAGCGTACGTGATGATCTCTCAGGATCTGAAAAGACCTTTTTGTCCTCTGATATTTTATTATTGATTTACCTTTTCTCTCCTATTTAAAAATATCAGCATCGTATATAAGACGTAAATTGATTAATTAAATGAATACTTTCCCAACGACGCACGTGTGAAGAAGACCAGAGGACTAGCGGAGGTGATGATCTCTTCGAATATGAAAAGACCTTTTTGTCCTTTGATATTTTATCGTTGATTTCTTTTTTTCCCATTTTTAAATATCAGCATTGGATATAAAAAGTAAATTGATTTACATAATTTATATTCAGAATGCAAACTTATAAAGCAGGCTAACGATCTCACCGACGCATGACGTCGGCGGGAAACATTCCGTACCGTCAATGATTTTGTCGCTTTCTTTGACGTGGCCGTCTGTGACTGGGCGTACTTGCTGGCTATTCTGCTTCGCTTCGGACAGGGAGGAAAGTGTGGTGGGGACCATCGGATAGCCGAAATGTCGGGCCGGAGGATCATGCGCTTTCGAGCTTTCGAGCCCGAAAACAACAAAAAGGAGCCCGAAAAAACAATTATGATATGAAACTGTTTTTTTTTTTTTTTTTCAGGATATGTATTATTTCAGAGCCCCACCCCCACCTACAGCTACCTTCCTTCACGCAGATAGATCCTCTCGGGTCCTCTGCGAGGCCAGGCCTGACGGGGGTGGAGCAGGCGATCGATCGAGCTGGATTGAGAGAGAAGAGAAGATGGGGGACCCGTTGGATGCTCTGAGGTCTCTTCTAGCTTCCCACTCCCCTCCTCTCCGCGCACTGGTTGTGCCTTCCGAGGACAACCATCAGGTGATCCCTGCTTCTTCATCCCGGCCCTCCCTCCTCCTCCTCCTTCCAGCTCGCTAGATTTTTCTTGCGTAACAGCTGCCAAGGATGTAACAATGCGTGGGCCACGGAGATCGTGTAGCAAGGACTACGCAGTCGATGATATGGATTTCCAATGTTTTTTTATTACTGAGATACGATGTGTTTATTTGTGCAACATTTTTTCCTTTTTTTTACGGTAGTGAAACGTTTTTATGCCAGAGCGAGTACGTGTCTGCGAGGGATCAGAGACGCGCATTTGTTTCTGGTTTCACCGGCAGCGCTGGTGCGCCTTGTTGTGTTAATTTATACTATTAAGGAAAGATCCTCTCCCTCTCCCCGTTTGTTTGCTAATTTTGTGGTGCGTAAATTAGGTCTGGCGCTTATCACATTGGACGAGGCGTTGCTGTGGACCGATGGCAGATATTTCTTGCAAGCGACTCAGCAGCTGTCTGATCGTTGGAAGCTCATGCGAATAGGTGAAGACCCAACCGTGGAGAGTTGGATATCAGATGTGAGCCTCGTCGTCTCTTTTTATTCCAGACCCCAGTGTTTCAGCCGACCATTTTTCTGTCCGTTTCATCTAACTGGAAATTATCACTGTTTATGTTGTCGTCTCGGTGTCAATGAGTCATTTTCTCGTGATTCCTATTTTTCACTGTACTTCTCACCTTTAATTTTTCAGAATCTGCCACACGATGCTGCGATAGGAGTAAACCCTTGGTGCATTTCTGTAGACACTGCACGTAGATGGGAAACAGCTTTCTCCAAGAAAAATCAAAATCTTGTTCAGCTGGCCAATGATTTGGTGGACGAGGTCTGGAAAGATCGCCCAGCAGAGGAAATACTTCCTGTGAGCATTCAACAACTGGAATTCTCTGGTCTCTCTGTATCAGAAAAGCTGAAGGATCTAAGAGGGAAACTTACTCAGGAGAAAGCGTACGGCATAGTTATCACTGCACTTGACGAGGTTCGTACCCTGAAGAACAGTTTTCTAGAGTATCTGGTCTGGGATATTGTTGCTAACTTTGGATTGCCCTGTTGTTTGAAACCAGGTTGCGTGGCTTTGTAATATCAGAGGAAATGATGTAGCTTACTGCCCCGTTGTTCATGCATATGCTATAATAACAGTTGAGTCTGCTTTCCTCTATGTGGACAAGAGAAAGCTATCTACTGAGGTCGGTCACTACCCCTTAGCTATCTCTTTCCCTGATTGCATTGTTGAGAATGAAACTATTCACACATCTTCATCAAGTTAGTAAAGAATGTATCGGTATTATTGTGGTAAAGGAATTAATTTTTAAGAGTTTTGGATGAATTCATACGAAACGCCAGGTCATTATTTTCTGTTATTTGATTCGAAACGCTAATATGAAAATTTCACATCCATTCTGTCCGATGTCCTTGTTATTCTGTTATTCGTGGTGATGATATGCAGAGATAGGATTTTTTATGGTATCAGTCACGTTGCCACAATCCCAAAAGAGTTCTAAAGGAACTTCTGTGTTTTTTTTTCTTGCAATGTGTTGTTTTACTCCAAAACAAAGTTGGATCCCATTCGTGTTAGGTAGCTTACGTCACTTCATCAACATACAATCCACCGATCATACATCTTAATTTTTGTAATTGGATCCAATTATGACCAAAATTCCTGTTGGTCCGTCTTGTTTCTGAAAATGCTGTGTTATATTGAGAATCAGTGGCCATGATTTGAAGAAGGTATTTGATTGAAGGTTTCTTTATCATCAAGAACAATTGTTGCATAAAATTTTTGAACTATGGTTTGGAGACGCAAGCCAGTTGCATTTTTATGCTATTTGTCAACTAAATCCGTGTTTTGGTATGCTGACGTCGTAACTTCAATTATCGATTCTAGGTAATTCATCACTTGACTGAAAATGGAATTTTGATTCGGGAATATAGTCAAGTTATCTCTGATGTAAGTCTGCTTGCGTCTGGGCAACTATTACAAGATAGCAAATATGAATCTAATACCACCGGAGGAAATGAGCAAGGCAATGTTGATACCACTAGTCAGATTGGGAATGAAGATGAAAAAGGAAAGCATCTTATCACATGGATAGACCCAAGTTCATGCTGTTTTGTTCTGTATTCAAAGTTGCCTTCGGGTAAGGTTCTCCTTCAGCCATCACCATTGGCTCTGGCAAAGGCTCTCAAGGTAATGAGAAAATCGCTAAAATCTAAGTTACTCTTCTATGTGATTCTCTTATGTCATATAGATGCTTACTATTGCTTTCATAGAATACTAAAGTTTTCAGTTGTTATTAGACATTCACTGGATGTTTCTAGAAAAAAGTTAACATTGATGCATTTTTCACTCATTTTTGATCCGGAAGACATTGTTGTCTGTGCGAGTTGCCATTGTCCACATGGACACCTTGGCTTGATACTACGGTTTGGATTGGCGCTTCAAATATTATAAACCAAAAAGTTAGCTCACCTTGAGATCATTTGGTTGTTTTCTTTTTCAAATCTTAAACTAAATTTAATTAATCACTGTTTGAAAAGCTATTGACATGTTTTTCTAATTTGGATGTTGTCTCTATGCATATGGTTCATAGAACCTGACTTTAATTCATTTCTTCTAATTTATGGTGATCGAATTTGGAATGGTCTCCTAGAAAAAAAAAAACACAGAAGAAGTAAAAAATTTAGGACCTGCTGTGTTCTCTTTTAGTGTTAACTTCGCTTTTTCACTTAAGAAATTTCACATATATTCCTATGTCTTTCTACTCTAGAACCATGTTGAGCTTGATGGCTTAAGAAAAGCTCATGTGCGGGATGGTGCAGCTGTTGTGCAGTACCTTGCTTGGCTGGACGACCAGGTCTGTCATTGTGCGAAACACTTCTTGTTCCTGAAACGATGACTTCTAATATTGTACTTTTCTTAATACTTTTGCAGATGCAACAGATTTATGGAGCATCCGGCTACTTTCTTGAGTCAGTGGGAACAAAAAAGAGAAGTAACTTGTATGACTTCTGTCACGTACTTGTGCAATATATTTTCAGCTGATTATGAGATGTATATTATTTGTGAACACATGAAAGTAATGAAGTAACGTGCCTTCCAATGAAGACCATGGCCATGTATTTTTTCCATTCTAGGCATTGATGAATTTTGTGTGATGCTGATATTCCGGTGCTGTTTCTACTCTATAATCACATTTTCAAGCGGGTCATCTTTTAACAGATGGAAATTTTCTTCGATTTCTGTGAAACGTTCCCTTTAAGTTTACTGATTAATCAAATGAACCTAGAATATGATCTCTTTACGTACTATTTTTATTTTTTTTCAGTTATTCTGACACAATTGTGCTGGCCTTTATAATTGGGGAATCCATTAGTTGGATCTCAAAGAGCTTATGACTTTGCTCCACATTTCCCCTTTTAGCATATATTGTTTAGGTAAAAGATATGTATTTGTACACTTTTTTTGGAACTAAATAGAAAATTTCCACTTAAGAAATTGAATAGAGACACTCTTCAAGAACTCTATTGCACTGTCGCTTTGGGCATAAATTTCGGTTTTGGAACTAAATAGAAAATTTCCACTTAAGAAATTGAATAGAGACACTCTTCAAGAACTCTATTGCACTGTCGCTTTGGGCATAAATTTCGGTTTAGTTCCCCACAGAAATGTACTACTGTGTATCTTCACCAAAAAAATCAGCTCGAAAAAGTCCATTCTGCTGTTTTTGATTCATTCATGTCATCTATGAACAGGAATCATGCTAATGTTCTTTTTGTTGTTAGTTTTTAATTAGAGACTTTTCAGAGATTCCCTATTGCATTATTCCATCTTAAGAGATTAAGCATTGCATTCTCAAGACCCCACAGTCATCTGAACATGCTCAGCCTACCCCTAAGATATTATGTGTAACATCAAAAAATTAGACCAGTTAAGGTCTCCGGACCCAAAACTTTCGAGCATTTGAATACTCTCTCTCTCTCTCTCTCTCTCTCTCTCTTTCTCTCACTCACTCACTTTCGTGTGCAGAGAACTTCTTTCTCACTATTTTAATTCCAGAAGTATCTTTCTTTAAATGTATGCTTTTGTGTTTTGTTGATGTTGTGTTTACAAATTATATCTATTCTTTCGTTTTATCATTTTTTATATTTATTTTTATGCAAATATATTTATAATTGAATCACTGCTTCTTTGTTTGTTCATGGATGTGATAGAGTGAAGCTGACAGAAGTATCAGTAAGTGATAAGTTAGAGGAGTTCCGCTCTAAAAAAGAGGTAAATGCAGCTCTCCATGCCTATCTGACGATGAAAGCCATCACCCATGACATGTGAAGCCTGTGTTCCCTGCTATGTTTGATGCTATATGCGAATTCAATGATAATTTTCACGGATTTTCTAGAAAATTATCGCTTTGTTATTTTGTACTTAAGTTTTTGGGTAGAATTGTATGTTTAGTGCGTCTAGTATTAAATCATTAGTGTCATGATATATTTAAAATGTATATGAAAGAAACAGAGAGTTCCCGAAGGGGAAAGCCAGCGAGAGAGAGAGAGAGAGAAGGCTTCCATCAAACCCTAATTGAGAGACTCTGGTATTTATACCAGAGTCTCACGGGACCTAGTTGGGCCGATAGGGCCCATATGGGCCATTACGGCCATGACTTGGATGGGACAATACAGTATTCAACAGTTTTTTATATTACAAGGAGGATGCTATTAAAGGATGCGATGTATACTTTTGAGTAATAACCATATTTATTGCTAAAATCATTATGAAAGGTCATCTGGTTGAAGGGGATTCACCACCTTTACTGTTGAAGATCAGATATTTGGTTTCCTCTTTATGGTAAGTAAGCTTCTGCCTAGTTGCACTCAACTCGTATGTGGTTGCCATGACTCCTGAACCTTGTGAATCATGACTCTTGCACAAAACTTGTCTGGTTTGTATCTCTGTTGCTTGCAATGACTGCACCTCAAGTTGATGGAATATTTACCCTTTATTTATCTGCAAGGGCATTCTTTATTGTGCCATCGAGTGGAAGGGTGAGTTTACAGACTGTATACAAGGGTGCTGTTTTGCATATCTGAGAAAATAATATTTGGCGTTACTCTTTCGTGAGGAGCATCTCATGCAATCATGCTCTATCTCGGTGTTTTAGTGCTTTGTTCTATACGAGTCATCTTTCCCCTTTCTTCTAGCCCTTTCAAAATGTTTGCTTGCCAGAAAAAATAGCCGCCTGAACCTGGTTTCACCTATATTATATGTGCAAAGGTCTGACTTGAGTGTTGCTACTTTTCTGTTATGCTGCAGCTCTTTAAAGGTTTGAGTTTTCCAACTATTTCTTCAGTTGGTCCGAATGCGGCAATCATACACTATAAACCTCAGTTAGAGACTTGTTCTGAACTTGATGCTGACAGTATATATCTATTTGATTCAGGGGCTCAGGTTTGTCCAGATAGTCTCATAAAGTTTCTTTATTAAAAAAATTTATTGAATAGTATTACTGATTGAAATTTTTTTCTCAGTATCAAGATGGAACAACAGATATAACAAGAACTGTTCACTTTGGCAAACCTTCAGCTCATGAGAAAGCATGCTACACTGCAGTATGATGCCTCTCGTTAATGATCCATCAATGCCTTTATTACCTTGCACTGTTTTTATTAAAATCATCCATTTTAGTCCTTTTTAAACATGTTTATTTTTATTTATCATCGACATACCTTGGATGACTCATGAATTTCTAATACTCTGTTCTGACACTGGGTAGATTTGTGAAACAGAGTTTTGACTTTGACATCAAGATGTCGGAGAAGAAACTGAGGTTTCCATGGTGGATGTGACTGAGCCCGAAGACAAGATAAAAAGATGCACGTGAAGTTATTCTTTTTCACCGAAGAAGTTGATAAATGAGACGTTGGATGTGATTTTTTCTTGATGAATTTACACAGTAAAAAAATGGAAGCTAAATTCGAAGCAAAAGAAGCATTTACCCTTAATTGGCTCTTGAAATTATGCAGAGTATTGCATGTCAATTGATACAGCTAAGGTCAAAAGGCTGGTATTGCATGTCAATTGATAAACCTGTTTTTTTCCGGACAAGATTTGAACTTAAAGAATTAACTTATTGCTCTCCACAGATTAAATTAAATGAGTGTAACCTTTAAAATACATAGGGCTTGGAATGTTTCTCCCTTACTCTCTTGAAAAGTTCTAAAACTAAGTGCAACTTGGAGAGGCTGACAAGAAAACAAAAGCAAAAATAGAGTATTAGAAAAACAAAACTTCCTAAAATATCTCTAACAAAAACAAAAGCTTTCAATTTTTTGGTAATAAAAAACCGCTCCCAGGTGTGCGTTTGAGGTACTAAAGTATTCATGCATTGCTTGCAAGTACTCTTCAGTAGGATCATATGTGATTCAACCTATTACACTGACAGCATAGGTGGTTATCTTTGGCCTCGTGTGTGATAGGTAAATAAATTTCCCGATCAGGCTTTAATAGCTTACTTTATCGATAGCATTACTCGTTTCTTCTTTGCCCAACTTATGGTTTTTGATATAAGTTTTTTGTTGATTTGCTCCAAGTTTTCCTGTGTCCTTTTGTAAATCTAAAACTAGATTCCTTGTTTGAAGTTTGGGAAATTCAATCCCAATATTTTTTTTAAAATTTCCCAACTCTTTAATTTCAGATTCACAAACTTTAGTAGAGCTTTGGTATATTGCTTACAGTTCATCTTATATATTGATAATGATCGATTTCAAGCCACAGACCAATTAACTAGCTGTAGAATTTGGTAAAAGACGGAGAACCTTGAATTACTGACATTACTTTAGTTTTTAATTCATAAATCATGTTAGCAGTTTACTTCATTGAGTATGTCTTTTGAAGCGTTACCAAATGTCTCGCACTGTTGGCACGATCCTTGAGTGCTCTTCATCCCATGCTTGGAACGTAGGATCGCTCTCACTTGAATCTGTCCTACAATAGTGGCTAGTTTTCCCTTTTTCCTTTAAGAATGTTCTCATTTATCGGAGATCCAGGACAACTTCAGAGGTAGGCGCATTGTTCTCAGAAGTGTGAAGCATATTCATTAAGAATAATAAAAAATAAATGAAAAAAACAGATGGCACTGGAACCGGGAAATGTTGGAGGAAAGAAGAGGAGGGTAGTAATGGAGGCTTATGGAGATGATAGGTAACGAAGAAGATTAGGGTTAGAAGTTTCAGTGTTCAGGTCGCCGCCATGGCTCTGATACCATAAAGAAAGAACTTGTTATTCCTCACAGTTTAACTGAAGAACGTAACCTTTGGAAGTCCTGAAATTAAACCTGCCCAGAAAAAATGGCAACGGAAAAACAGACCATCCTGAAAAATATCTAACAATCCTGAGTAATAGGAAAAATATATATTGATGAAAGGATATGAAATTAGAAATATATCTCTGAAAATATCTCACGAGTAAATAGGAGAAAAGAAATCTCTTTTGCAAAGCAGACGAAAACCCATTGTTTTTCATTTATTCTATAAATTTGCGAATACGTTCAAAAAAAAAAAATTGCGCACAGAAAAAAAGTTATGAACCAAGTCAATCAGAAAAATCATCTGGAACATATGGATATAAAATTAGCAACCCAAGATCTTAGACTGATTCATATTGTCTGGGACAGAGATGATCAATTCATATGAAATCGTCACAACTTTAGCTTGAGAAACAGAAACACCAAAGATCAAGTTGACTGGCACAAACCAGATTGACGGTCATTAAATTGTGCCAATAAATTATCATTTTAGGATACATAGTTGAATCCCACTGTCAGGTTTTTTAATTTGAAATTCCATCTCATCAGTTTAGTTACTATGCTTGATAGAATGGCTATCCATAACAGTTATGTAAGTTCTTCAGGTTCTCAAAGGCCATATTGCTTTGGACATTGCCACATTTCCCAACGGGACAACTGGTATTAACTGGCTCATCTGCATAATTTGAAACCGCACGCCTTTTTTCTGTCTTACATGAAATTGCTCTTTGTGACAGGACACGCTTTGGATATTCTTGCTCGAACCCCTCTGTGGAAGCTTGGTCTTGATTATCGGCATGGCACTGGCCATGGAGTTGGATCGTACCTGCTGGTTCATGAAGGTTCAGTGAAGAACCCATCCAAGTGTATGCCTTTTTAGCTGCCCACTCGTTTTTATACCATGTGACACTGCGTCATGTTGAGCAGGCCCTCATCTTATTAGCTTCAGACCTTATGCCGGAAATGTGGCGCTGCAGGCATCCATGACTGTTACAGATGGTTAGTATGAGCTCTGACCTGCGTGTTTTTTTTTTTTCTTTGGGCTGATATATGTTGCGAAAACTCATTACTTCTGATTATTTTCTTTCCCAATGTGGTACTGTTCTACTCTTTCAATCTATCTTTCTTACTCAGGACTGTTCTTTAAGCTGATATTTTGTGAACTAGGTACTACTGATAATTTTTTCCAAAGTGGGAATGTTTCACTTTTTCAATCGATTTTCGTGCATCCTAACAAGTAAATCAGATTTTATCAGACACCTGATCCAGCTAACATTTTTTTTAGGCTGATATTATGTGAACTTAGTATTAATTATTTTTTTCAATATAAAAAGATTCTACTCATTAAATCTATCTTTCACTCATCTCCTCTGCTCTGACGACCTTACTTGATAAATCTTTAGCATCCTAGAATGTCAATCATCAGCCCACAGGATGTCTTTCTCCACGTATTTTTCATGAGTAAAAGCTAAGTTTTGACTAGGGGGGGGGAGGGTATTTCTGTATTTTGTTTATTGATGCTCCGATATTCATTCATGTTCTAACATGGAGACATCCTTTTCAGAACCTGGGTACTACGAGGATGGAAACTTCGGCATAAGACTGGAGAACGTTCTTATAGTAAAGGAAGCCACCACAGAGTTTGACTTTGGCGACAGAGGATACTTGTCGTTTGAGCACATAACATGGGTAGGTTTCCTTCTATGTGTGGAAATAATCCCTTCTTATTTGACTGAAATCGTGGTTACGGCGTGCCGTTCTCCTATGATCTGCTTTCATTTATTTACGAAGAAAAGTATGCTCGATCTCTCTAGGTGCCTTTCCAGAAGAAGATGATTGACCTGGCGGCGCTGACTCCTGAGGAGATCCGGTGGGTGGACGAGTACCATTCCACCTGCAGAGAGATCCTGGCCCCTCATCTCAACAAGGAGGAGATCGGGTGGCTCAAAAGAGCGACTGAGCCGATAAGTGCCTGAACTCTTTCTCTTAGTGCTGCTTATCCTGCTGCATTCATGCCGCTGCTTTCATGGGATTTCTCGCCTTCAGCATCATGGCATCGGTGCAACTATCTCTATTTCCGTCGCCAAGAGACTGCCTACCCCATGAATAAGAGAGTCATCCTTCATCTCCAATCGCTTCACTGTTCCATGGCGTTGACCTCGGTGTAGATTCGTTGCCTGCTTAATCTGATGTGCAAATGGCTCCATGATTATATTGCTACTTCCCTTGGTCGGTAATACCGTCGTCTTTATTGGTTCTTAGATGATGGTGTGATCTTCCCACGGAAAATTCTAGTCTTTATTGGTTCTAGCTTTTCATCTGGACCAGGGGAAGAGGGAGAATCCCGGTTGACTTAGTGTAGTTACATCGCTTGCTTAATGTGATGTGCAAATGGCTCCACGATAATTTTACTGCCTCCCTTGGTCAATGATGTCGTCGTCATTACTGGTGCTTAGATGGTGATGTGATCTTCCCAGAGAAACTTCTAGCTTTTTATTCTGCTTTTGAACTTAGATGAAGAGAGAGAATCCGGATTGACTTTTGATCTCAACGGCAGAGGGTGTTTACACGGTGATGTGATCTTCCCAGAGAAAATTCTAGCTTTTTATTCTGCTTTTGGACTTAGATGAAGAGAGAGAATCCGGATTGACTTTTGATCTCAACGGCTGAGGGTGTCTACACGGTGATGTGATCTTCCCAGAGAAAATTCTAGCTTTTTATTCTGCTTTTGGACTTAGATGAAGAGAGAGAATCCGGATTGACTTTTGATCTCAACGGCTGAGGGTGTTTACACGGTGATGTGATCTTCCCAGAGAAACTTCTAGCTTTTTATTCTGCTTTTGGACTTAGATGAAGAGAGAGAATCCGGATTGACTTTTGATCTCAACGGCTGAGGGTGTTTACACGGTGATGTGATCTTCCCAGAGAAACTTCTAGCTTTTTATTCTGCATTGGGACTAAGATGAAGAGGGAGGATCCGGGTTGACTTTTCATCCCAACAGCTGAGGGTGTTTATGTTATTAAGTTCATCCAGAAGTAGCGTTGATGGAACGGGCGATTTTACTCGGTATTTCTTCTCAGAAAGCCACCATACTTTTGAATCTTGCTGGAAGCGGCCGCTTTCTTGATGAAATCAGATGAACAGAGCTCGATGCCGCCGTACATTTCTTGCCGATTTTGGCGGCAGCCGAGGAGATCAAATCTGGGTGATGAGTTGTTTCCCTAAGTAGATTAGAAGACTAGCGCTAAGCTTCTCCCAATTTTCAGGTCACCAGAGAAAAAAACTTGGAGTTGTTTCGCTAAGCTTCTCCCTAAGTAGGATGAAGAAGAAAGGTCGGATCTTTCCATCTACCCGTGATGCTTTCCGCTGCTGAGAGAGAGCTCGAGATCATCGACCGCCAGTTCGTGGATCCTCTCCCCTTGCCACGGCTTCACCCTCCCACTCTCGAACTCGAACTCCGGCGGCCCGCCACCTGCGGCCGCCACGCTGCCCCCGCGGGCGGCGGCGGGGACGACGAGGTTGAAGGTGGGGGACGGCGGGGCCGGCGAGTGGAAGCTCCCCCAACGGCCGGAGTCGACGGTGGACGCGTCGGACTCGTCGCATCTGCCCCGGGATGGGCTCGCCGGCGCCGACAGAGGTGGCCGGAGGAAGGCGACGGGGCCGGCGGCGAAATCGGAGGACGGCGCCGTCGCGGTGGGCGAAGCAGGCGGCGGCGTGACGGGGGCGCTGCTGGAGATGCGGAGGGGAGGGAGGGAGGGGAGGTTGCGGAGGAAAGGGAGGAGAAAGGAAGGGTCCACATTTGGGTTTTCTCTGGAGGGGCTGGGGAAGGAGGAGGAAGAAGGGCTGGGGAGGTAGGAAGGGGCGGGGCTGGTGAAGGAGGAGGAGAGAGGGCTCAGCTGCTGGTAGGGCGACGACCAGGGGCTCACGTTCCTCGACGCGCCGCCCACGGCGGCCATCTCCGGCGGCGGCGGCGGTGGTCTGCATCCCTGAGAGAAGAGAGCGAAGTTAATTAGATTCGGACAGTCTGTTCGTCCACGTTCCCAGAGATGTGGAACCTCCTAGATAGAGAAAGTCCAGCTCGGGAAGGGGGAGGTTGCTGGTGGAAGAGAAATGGAGATAGGGATCAGGGGCTTGCGGTAAACCCACATGCCTCTCGTCGCTGGAAACCAGGGAAAAAGTAGAGAGAGAGAGAGACCCAGTTAGAGAAAGATCCCTTTCGTTTAGAACCCAGTGAGAGAAATGGAACGCTGAGGCAAACCCACATGCCTCTCGTCGCTGGAAACAGTAGAGAGAGAGAGAGACCCCTTCCGTTTAGAACCCAGTGAGAGAAAGGGAACACTGAGGCAAACTCACATTCCTCTCATCGCTGGAAACCAGAGAAAGAGTAAAGGAGAGAGCTGTATGAGGATTACAGGGGGCAAGACCCCTTCTGTTTAGAACTCAGTTCGAGAAAGGGAACGCTGAGACAAACCCACATTCCTCTCGTAGCTGGACACAGGAGAGAGAGAGCTGTGAGGATTGCAGGGGCAAGGCCCTTTCCGTTCAGAACCCAGTTCGAGTAAGGGAACGCTGCGTCAAACCCACATTCTCTCGTCGCTGGAAAGCCAGGGAAAGAGTAGAGAGAGAGAGAGAGAGAGGGAGAGAGGGAGGGAGGGAGAGAGAGAGAGAAGGAGGGAGGGAGGTAGGGAGAGAGAGAGAGAGGGAGAGGAAGAGAGGAGAGGGGTTTACCTTGCGGTAGGTGGTGCCGTCGTCCTCGACGATCCAGCCGGCCTCAGAGCAGAGGGCCTTGAGGACCTCATTGTTGTCGCAGTGCTTGGGGAGTTTGTAGTTGCCGAGGGCCCTCAGCCCCGAGAATATCTTCGCCGCTATTGCCCGCCGTCGCCTCTCCCTCCTCTTGTTGTTCTCCCTCTCCTTCCACGTCGGAATCCTCCCCCCCGACGTCATCCCCGTCCCCGTCCCCCTCCCTTCCCTCTCCAATCCGCAGTCCTCCCCTCTCTCTCTCCCTCTCTCTCTCGCTTTCTCTCTCCCTCTAACCCGGAAACGGAGAAGGGAGGAGAGAAGGGGCCGAAGCACGCTCACGAGGAGAGAACCCTTTTCTCCATCACTACCAGCAGATTCGACCGACTCTCTGGTGGCAGAGGCAGAAGAACCCTCACTTCCTCTCCGTTCACCTCTTTTGACGGGAAAACCGGAGATCCAGAGAGAGAAAGAGAGGAGGATACCTCGCCCATGCCCGCGGGGGCTGTTTTGGTCTTTCCCCACATTTTCTGATGCTCGGGGACACCTCTCTGCGATCTCTCTTCGGGACGGCGGAGAGGAACAGGACAGCGCAGAGCTACGTTATTAATTGTAAAAACACCCTTTTTAAATATCTTTTCATGACCCAGTCCCTCCAACGCGAAGAAACAACAAAAAAATCCCTTTCCATAAACCCTCCATAACATTTATAGCACTAAAACAAGACGTTTTAGATCATTCAAAGAACACAAGTTTGTAATATTTATATCCCCTAAAATGTGGGGAAAAAACTGGTTGCTTTTTTATACTGGGCTTTATTGCAAGACCAAGGAACTATATAATTTCATAATAATCCGGCATTTTCCAGTGGGGAAAAATCAAATTAATTAGATCAAGAAAGAAAATTTATAGAGACCCAGTACGGAGGGGGAGGAGCACAGTGAGTAGTAGTAAGCAGTAGCCTGCCGCCCCCCCCCCCCCCCCCTTGGTGGGCGTAGCTATGGGAAGCAGAGAGGGGAGGGAAGAGTAGCGGCTGTCCGAAGGAGCCGCCAAACAGTATCCGGCAGCCGGCGGCAGTGCCGAGCAGCGGTTGCGGTGGGCCCCGCAGTATGAGGTGTTTGATGGGCCCCCCACCCTGGCTCGCGATACTGGACTAAGATCTGAAACCCCGGAGAAGCCCGGGTTTGCGGTAGCGCTCTGGCTGATGGGTGACGTCATCAGGGCGTGGTAATCCGATGGGTCTCACGAGTCGAGAGAACTACAAGGAAAAAACAAGGGTTTTTCTGTCATCTAGGATCTCTAAAATCTTCCCTTTTAATAAATTCGATACTATAAAAAAAGGGTTTTTCCGTCATCCGGAATCTAAAAAATCCCACCTTTTAAATACACTCGAAAATCTTAAAAAAGGGTGGTTTTTCCGTCATCTGGAATCTAAAAAACCCCACCTTTTTAATACACTGGAAAATCTAAAAAAAGGGTTTTTCCGTCGTCCGGAATCTAAAAAACCCACCTTTTTAATATACTCGATAATATAAAAAAAGGGTTTTTCCGTCGTCCGGAATCTAGAAAACCACCCCTTTTTACTATATTCGGTAATTTTTTAATCGTAAGACTATCTGTGCATTAAATGGGTAAACAGTGTTGTTGGACGATACGCTGTGCCTGAGGAGTTGCATTTATAATATATGAAAATATAGGAACAAGTTTAAAGGAAAAGGGTCTGTTTATAATCCCAAAGTTCAGACGGGGAGAATCTTAAAGGAACAATTCTGAAGGATACGGAAGGAATTTTAATAATAAACTTAATCGTAAACCATATGCTGGCTGCACTCCTATTTGGCTACAAACCGAAGGAAGTCAGTCTCCTACGTTGCTGGGGGTCTGGAATGTAATTATGGTAGCAAACAGGGGCTCTGTAGTCAATCCGAATTTTTACCAGGAAAAATGTTTGAGAATGAAAAGCATCCAACGCCGTTGCCGGGGATCGAACCCGGGTCACCCGCGTGACAGGCGGGAATACTCACCACTATACTACAACGACTTCGTTCTCGCTTTCTAAATTTAACCTTTATAAGTTCCTTCAAATGACGCTACATCCTTCCACCATACCAGCACCTCTATGCCACACTTGAAATAGTGCACATCTAAGATTTTGGCCATTAGAGGGAGTTGTAGAAGATAGTTGATAGGCCTTATGTGCTCCAAGATCTTGTAAGGATGACAAAAAACATGATGACAACTTCTCATTGTGACATTTCACCAATGACTTTATATAATATGGCTGAAGTTTGACATAAACCATGTCACCCACATCATATTCAACATCCCTCCTATGTTTGTCAACCTAAGTCTTAATATGTTCTTGAGCCTAAAAAAATGTTCCTTCAGTGTATCCAAAATAATCTCTCTCAATAAACTGATCCCTTAGGACTTGAGGATTGTGATTCAAAGAAAAAAATAGAGGGTGGATCCCTACCATAGAGTATATGAGGTTGTATGAAGAGATTAATGAAAAGATATATCATATCATAATTCAACCCATAGTATCCAAGTGGATCATTCCCCATAGTACATCTCCATATAGTGAGTTACTCATTCTATATGTCTATCAATTTTTGGGTGAAAGGTAATGCTCTTTTTCAGCTTCATATCTTGTCATTGATGCATTTTATTCTAGAAATTTTTGAGAAATATATTTTCACAATATAAAACAATAACATCATAAGAATCATGTGCAAGCAAACTATATCTTAAACAAAAATATTAGTAATATTTAAAGCAAAAAAAGGTTGACACATGGAAATGAAATGAGTGTATTTAGTAAGTCGATCCACCACCACAAATATTGAGTTCTTATCATGTGATTTCGATAAGGCCTTTATGAAGTTTATCTTCATTTCATCTCAAACTTATTTTAATATAGATAGGGGCCGTAATAAGCATGTAGGAGCTAAGAAATATAATTTATATTGCCGAAAAATTAGATAGCATGCCACATATTCTTGAATTAATTTCTTCATACCTAGCTAGAAGAGGTATTGGGTGATCCTTTTGTATGTATGAAAAAATCTCAAATTGTTGCCTACTACTCTAACATAATATTCTTCGAGCAGTTTGAGAATGAGTACAAAGTTGGTTGTCAAGACCATCTTGTTTTTATAATGCAACAGCCCTAAAACTTGTGAGTAATTAGGTTAATTGTTGGTATATGTTTGTATGAATTGAGGATCGGCTACCACCACTACTCTGATTTTTTATACATCTAGGGGAGATGAATGAGTTATTGAAATTATTGACTGTTAAGATTGATTTAATGATATTTTATAGATTGCATTAGTTGTTGCATTCATGGTCTTAGCCTTGTATCTGATCTCGATGTCATAAGTAATTAGCTTCATGACTCACTTTTAGTATTGTGAAATAATATTTTTCTATTTCAATAAAAACTAAGTTATAATAGTCAACAAAAATAATGAAATGTTGACCGATCAAGTAATGTTTCTACTTCTAAATTGTCAATACTATCAATTACTATGGTCAAATCATATGGATTGACAATCACATAAATGAAATATCACATTGGATCAACTCAAAGACCATTTTACTCAAGCATAGGATTAGATGAAGAATTATGTGCTAAGAAATGTTGCAACATCAAGTTTGCTGATGACAATAAAATTTACCTTTGTTGTGCCCATATCATTGAAACTCTCTAGCCCATCGTCCTTACAAGAAGCTTGAGTCTTCTTTTTTTTTTGGCCCATGTGAGATTTTAAATTATATTGAGTCAATCATATACTATCTTATCTTATCTTACCACCCAAAACAAACATATACTTAATATTCCACGTGTCTCGCCTTAAACATGAAATTAGAGTAACATCACAAAAATAATGTAGGCCATGTATTTTAGATAAAGATCTCATTTGTACGATTTAACTTGTCAATGTTATCACTATTAAGTAAGGCCTACACAGAGTGAACTTTTTGGAGTAAGTACTTATGAACTATTTATAACTCTCTATCATCTATGTTGAAAATAGACAAAATCACTTGAAGTAAATTCTCAACTAAAGGAAGACCAATAGGAGATGTAGTTCATAATGTATTGACATAATGACAAATGTCACTTCAAAAATAGATGATAATGAACATTAATTTATGAGTCAATATGAAAAGAAAGGAAGCCTTATGGACATCCCCTTTTTAGGATTGTATCTTCATGTGGAGAGAGTTAAGAGACTAATTATTTTGAATAGGTCAAAGTCAAGGGCCTCTCAAGATTTGCTAACTTTCTCCTCTATTCAACTCCTATATTTTCCTTATCTCTCTCTCTCTCTCTCTCTCTCTCTCTCTCTCTCTCTCTCTCTCTCTCTCACACACACACACACACACACACACACACACACACACACACACACACACACACACACACACACACACACACACACACACACACACACACACACACACACACACACACACACACACACACACACACACACACACACACACACACACACACACACACACACACACACACACACACACACACATCAGTTGGATAGGTTCCATCAACTTGTACATTGACTCTCATCAACACTTGCCCATCTTGAACAACCTAACACAATCCACTTGAGATGAAGTTGATGATGTTGATGAATACCCATATCAAAAATGACATCAAATTTCATCTAATAAAGAGTGTTTGGTAATAAAAACTTCAAATTCAATCCCACAAGAATCTCTAAGAATTTTGTTTCAAGAATATGAAATAGAGATTGATGCACAATCTCATCGCATAAAACCCAAATAATTTATCTTGGGGTTCTTAGCTGCCTCATGAAAATGTTTCATTGATCAAGGAAAATCATAATTCTATTGGCAACTAAGGCCTTCAAAGAGAGAGAGATAAGGGAAAGGTAAGAACCCATAAAAAATGGTAAGACGGTACTAAGAGACTTGATGACAGCATCTATTGAAGAAGGAAAGCTCCCATAGGATATAGAGACCTGAAGAAAGCCCACAAGTAAATCAATAAATCTGGATATTTCTTGAATAGTGTAATCAATTAGTTTTAGCTACCAACATCTTGGAGGGCTCTACCCATGTTAAGAGGACAATTTTTCCCTTGTTCAAGGGGTGGCCTTAGAAGGTCCCTTGGAAGGTCTTTGAAACTGTCTTGTCAACAATAGATTACTCATTTATCTAAGGAGAGATGATGTCATTCAAGGCATTTCAAAATGTCTAGTCATTGAAATCTCTGACTAGAATAATTTGAAGGCACCTTCTCACTATAATCTACAACATCAAGATGTGTGGCATGCCCTCATAATATGAAGTCTCTTTAAAATGGGAGGACAATTTCCTCCTCTTTTTTGTTTATAAAAAAGCTTAATGTAATGTTGGAGAATAGTGAGAAACAAAGAGGAGCTCAAGGTGGGCTCACAGTTAGACTACGTATGGTCACTATTCTCAATTAAGAGAAAAATAATTAAAAAATATAAAAATAGAAAAAGTTGATTCATAATTTGGAAAAGAATTTTAAGCAAGGATTTTAGAGTTAAATGGAGATAATTCACCCATCAAAATGTTGTTGGTTGTCCCCACATGAGAATGAAAAAGATCACACCATGTAGAGTAATGTTCAACTTAAAACTTCTCCACATAATTATAGAAGGGTATAGAGAAGCTCAAGATGCTCATATTTAATGGACAAGACTTAAAAGGATGGGATTTTCATGTAAAATTATGTTCACGATGTATCAACTTATGACAATTGATAAGTTAACTATGAAATGACTAAACTTTGAAGTCAAAGTCCACGTGTGGTTTAAATAGACAGATGCATATAAACCTTTCAGAGATTGATAAGATTTGTAGTGAGATTCAGTCACAAAATATCAAATGGCTAGTCACTTGGGTTGAGCATTTGGGCCAATTTGGTGAAAGGAACGGTTAGGCTGGGTTCTCTTTGAATGGTGTTTGCATCAGCATTTTGATGTCAACATTTGATTTGGTGATGTTACCGTCCATCATTTTTATTTATTTTTATGAAGTCCTTTAAGTTATTTATAAATTTACATTATCATGAGTTTATTTCAGAAATGATATATGGAGTTATTTGATTTCTCAATGATGATGTTTGTCTTGAGTATACTTAATGTATTATCAAATAACTTTCATGTCTCAAATTTTGATGTCTAATATTCTAAGATAATTACTTTTAACAAAGAGCCTACATTGGTAATATATTACTTCAATTTATTATTCTACAATATTAGACATGTATCAAAATTAAAGCCAAATTAGATTTCAACACAACCTATGGCCCATTTGAAAACCTGAACTTTGCCTTACTTCATTAAAATGGTGTGCATTTAACTCTTATTCCTTCCTTCACATTAGATCTCTAATAGTATTTATAACATGTCATTCTCCAAAATATAACACAAAATGTGTACTATATCACTTGATTAAAGATCTATTGTTGAGTCATAAAGATAAATAATATAATGAGGGTCATTAAGAAAATATACCTAAGTTTATTACAATTTAAATGTGCATTTTATCATTTTGAATCAACACAAGAGTTTTTTATTCTAGACTTCCTCTCTTGAGGTGATGGGATGCTTTAAGAGTGACTCTATACTTATGTAAAAGTTCTATGACCTCATAAATAGACAGGAGGTGCTTATTGTCTTTTTGAGGTCCTTTTTTAATTTTTTCTATCACAAAAAATATAATATGATTTGATTTTTACACATAATTACATTAAAATCATTCTTACTTGAGATGTTTTGATTTCAATTAATTTGAGTCACTTAAATTGAAATTAGTCTTCATGCTATCCTCATAATATACATTTATATATCTATGCATGACTACACATAAATCAAATCCAACAATATTTCACTTAGACAACATATATAATCTCTTGATATTATATATTATGGTTTTATGAGCTCAAAAGTATATATATAATTAGCAAAAGACATTTTCAACAATCTAGTCCATTCAATATAGGACTGAAAAACTCTCATTAAATTTGAATAACTAAACCCACCAATAATGATGTATATTGATATAATAAATGACATAGATCAAGTATAGATTGTATAGTATGAAAATGTGGTTCAAATATGTACATTTTCAATTTATCTCCTTAATTTTGTAAGAAGATCAACTAAAAATGTTCAAAATACATACAAGTATAAACTTTACTTATATAGTAAAAATAATCATATGATGTATCTACAATTATAAAAATGTCAAAAATATAAATTACAACTGAAATTACACATCCTCACAAGAAACTATATTCATAGGAGTAGTATATTTATGAAAGATTTTGTTGATAGTTATTTAGTAAATAGATTTATAACTATGGAGTTTGTCTCAATATGTTTTATAGATATTTGACCATTTTGAACCCTTTTATTAACAAATAGAATTTGATGTCTATAAACTTGAACTTTGTCACGCTCTTATTATTATTATAACACATAACGATTGTCTTGTTGTCACAAAATATATTTAATACTCTTATAATTATATGTAGAATTTACAATCTATTGACAAAATTACACCATCATATCTTATAATTGGATGTTGTAATGGACATAGATATGTTTCTTAATTATTCTCACATTTATTATAATTATTATTCTTCATAACTCAATGGTAGACTCCCAATCTCCATCAAGTGGTATCAGAGCAAAGTTTATGTTGAGTTTTAAAAAATAATGTGCTATAATTAATATTTTGTCTCTTGGAGTTATATATGATATTTGAAAATAAAAGTGAAGGAATAAGAGTTAGATGCACAGACTGTGAAGAAGTCAACTGGGCTCTAAGCATCCAAATGGGCCATGAGTCCCACAAGCGTTTGATGTGGCATGCCATGTGGCTCCAGGGATGTTGTAGATGGACTCCAAGGGTGTTTAACACCCGTGTAGCTCTAGGGCCGCCACAAGCAAGCTCAAAGGCTGTGCAAGCTGTGTAGTAACAGGGCAATGGTGTGAAACAGTGAGAACACTGATATGCACACCAAAACGGCCCTTTTGGTGTGGCCCAACGTGAGCATGAGGAACTGCCCTTTTCCCCCCTTTGCTATCGTCAAAAGGAAGGGCAGAACAGAAGGTGGTTCCCATTCATTTGAGAACCGACGGGGAAACATAGGCCATATGCCCCATAGATTGGGCCATTTCGCTATACGGGTGGGCCATCGAGCATAGGGAGGGAGAACAACCATTTGGGCATAACATTACAAGAGATGACACCATCATTACTATTTGAAACATATGAGAGGTTTTATCATATTGACTATGTACAATTTTAAGTTATGGTGTTGATATTTATGTTAATATTAATTATATTCTTATGCTCAATGACATAAAGTTTGAGAAAGTGTGTCAATTCTTGGGTTAAGGGTTGATCAACCAATTAATATTACATAATTCAATTCGATCTAGGCACACAAGTCCTAGAATGTGTCATTTTAGAACCCTTCAAAGGCATTATGTCTGAAAAAGTCACAACAATCGAAAAAATTATTAAAGAAATTGAGAAAAGATTTACCAAAAATGATAAGGTTGAAACAAATATGATCTTGACAAAAATTTTCTCAATTTTTTAAAGAACTTTTAATAACTTCTAGAATGACATATTTCATGATCGCAAGACTCATCCGATTAGATCAATCCAAGATCCAGAGCAATGACACACATAACAATCATAATGTTGTCATAATACGTCTTGCAATTTGTGCCATTGAGCCTAAGAATATAATTAATATTTTCAACAATATTGGGCTAACATAGAGGAGAGAAATACACACACATATATATAGAGGAGATAAAGACAGATAGAGAGATGAGAGAGAGAGAGAGAGAGAGAGAGAGAGAGAGAGAGAGAGAGTGGCATCATTGGCGAACTTTCACAAAATACCTAGCATCTTGGAAGCAAAGGGGCTCATTCCCCCAACATGTCCACCCCGACTGCAGCTCCCTCGCGAAGAGCTCCACAAACTTTCCAGGTCTGGGCCCTGGCACATACTCGGACAACAATTCTTTGCCTTCGTCAAGGATTGAGATCCCCAAGATAAAACAGACGATAAATACTAGAGTAATTGCTTGACGAGGCTATAATTATTGGAAATGAATGATATTAATTACCAAAAACTCGTGGGCAATTATCTGTCAAAGATGTAGTTATTGCAGGAAAAAAAAGAGGTCATAATCAGGAAAATCGCACGGGTCTGTTGTCAAAGAAAATCAAAAGAGCGGATCAAGATTTAACGTTACAGGGGATCATGCCCATGAGTTAACATTTCGACATGGGGAGATTTTCAAGATTTAATATTAAATTATGGATACTTCCAAGTGGGGGCTTTCTAGAGTAGGCGCTGGGAATGCTGATGATAACTTGATTACTCTGTGGGAGTGTATAACTTACGTCACATCCAGAGCAGATTTCCTGAAACGGAAATGGAAATGAAAAACAAGAGAGCAAGAACATGGGAAAAGAGTAATAAGCAGTACTTAACCCCACGAAGTTTAGTAGAACATGTAAGATTGAAGAGTCTAAAGCCCTGAGACTAGGCACAAGAGTCTGAATCATAACCTTGCTGTTAATATAGCCAAGAACAAGGCATTCATATGGTCTGTGATGAAATAAGTCCAGGTCGCCAATCAAGGAACCATCATCCTTCACCTGTATAATATCCAATGTGCAATCTAATCATCATAACCAAAAAAACCAAGATCCCCTGAAGATTGGGGATAGAAAATGAAGAGGAATATAGGACCATGGTCTGTGTAGGGATGAGAGAACACTGTGGTGTTCGTCCTATGGCAGTGCAGTTAATTTTCTAAACATTCCACTAAAAAAATTGAGATTATGACACTTGTCGCTGATTCTTAACATCATGATAGTTAAAAATTGAAAAACAAAAAAAAACTATCTTTAGTAGTTCATGCATGTGCAGGCCAACTAGAAAACAGAAAAATGGATCCACCTTCAACCAGTAGAAGACGGAGACATCAGTGACACCCCAGGCGGGGAAAAGTTCTTTCTCGACGAAAATCCGCAGCTTTTCTCGATTGGTCACCCATAAAGCCACAAGGGCTCCTTGTGTGTGAGCGAGCTGCCGCACAGGGATGTAGAGAAAATAGCGACTTGGTAAAGTTGGGTACCTGCAGCCAAGACGATTATTATTTCTGACAGTTATCTATCCATACATACTGGGAAATATGCAGATAAAAAAAGAATTGTTGAGACACATACAATGATTTCTGATAGGCGCTTGCATTTTCCCATGGTGGATCAATAACTATTAGATTGAAGCCATAATCAGAGTGGGCTGCAGAGGTAACGGAGTTATGCGTGAGATGGTCCTCAAAGAAATCACTTCGGTTTTGGGTTACAGAATTACCAGGAATAAGGTCATGAATCCGTCTTAAGTCTGACTTTCGTCGCATCATAGCAAACATGTGTTGAAAAAAAAAACTAGGTGTGAGGTACTCCGCATTGATGCATGGAATCAGCGCATCTAGATTCCACCTACGTGGAAAATTAATTTTTCTAGAAAAATATCATGGAGAAAACTCATTGAATAAAGGAGGGAAGGCTATGTACAAACGGAAGAGCGAACAAGAAAAAGGTTTAAGAAACCAAAAAGATAAAATATTATTCAGAAGATTAGTTGATGCAAACAAAGAGAATGGAAAATAACAAAGATTCCTACCATGTGAAGGCAGCTTTTACTAGGTAATATGTAACGGCTGTTAAGAAATTCAGCATCTAAATCATCATCTGTCTCATTAGCAACAGGGTTGTCAAACAGCGGCATCACAGTCCTCACAGCACATAGATTGGAACAAGATTGAGTACCTGCCAAAGAAATGCATCAACTTTTCTTATAACATACAGCAGTGGGATTCAATTTCATAACTAAATTCCACTGATCAAAAATTTCAGAGGTGGGTAATAATGCAGTTTAAACAGGCTGGATGTCGTGATTGTAAAAAAAAAAAGGCACTGCTCATTGTTGCACATAATCCTAGAGGCAACAGTGAATTCCAAATCCCAATCATCCGGTGGAGATGGGAAGAAGGCACGACATTTTTTAATCCGCAGAAGAAGGGACAATCTATCACATACAATCCAGCACCCAGCAGTGAATCCCTACACCCCAAGTATCTGAAAGAGCGGAGAACAGTGCATGAGATTTTTTAAATCCCCAGAGGAAGGGCACAATATAACCCATGCAATCCTGCAGGAAACACTGAATCCCAACTCCCAAGAATCTGAAAGATCTGAGAAAAGGCAAAATAATTTGAATCCCCAAAAGAAGGGGACAAGTGTTCACTAGTCCTCATGGCGTGAGGAGGCTTATAATTAATAAATAAAAGGTCAAGAAGAGGCATGGGAAAAGTAGAGTGGCCTGAAAATGACCTAGACACCAGAACAACCCCCTACCCCTCCCCCTCCATAGAAACATTTACATGCCTTTGAAACACACCTTGCAAGCCTATACAAGATAAATATGATGATTCTTCAGCATTGCCCTGACAAAACTGTTCAAATAAAATCGGAATTACTTGGTTGTCGACCGGCAGGAGATTGAATAGCAGGTGCCAACAAATTCCTCTTGCGCGTGCGCACGCGCACACACGCAAACACAAATAAAAAGACACTAACACTATCAGCAGGAGATAATAACCATGGTCAAATTATTTATATTCCTAACGCAGCAACATAAACTTTCTTTCTCCCGCAATCCCGACAGCTTACCCTGAGGTGGCAAGCATAAAGAAATCTCCCAGTGAGAAGCTTGCCAAACGCTACCGAGCTCGATAAAGTTACGTGGAGGAGCTTCTGTTTCAACTTGAGATGACCCATCATCTCTGGTCACAGTGGGAAGAACTGACAAGAGCTCGGCCGCATGAAGAAAACATTCGTGCGCTTTCACCAAGAAAGGTCTCGCTTCCTGGCGAAGGAAACGCCAGCCCAAAATCCACGTCACCAAATTCAGAGGAAAAACAAAAGGTAAAATAAAAAAGTCGTCTACGAATCCCCAGGTCACACCTGATGCCGCAGCTCCGCCGCTCTTTCCCGCTCATTCATATCGCGCGGCTTCCCCTTCTTCTTCCGCTTCCTCTTCCCCGAGGCACCGGAAGTATCCCCAACCTGCTCCTCCGCCGCAGCGCCGCCTCTCGCTCCTCCCTGGGAAGTCTGAAACGATCGGGCGTAGTAGGAGGATCGCCGGAGCCGGTGGCGAGCGTAGGACTTGCTGAGAACGAGGACGGGGTCGACGAAGACGGCGCCGGAGCCCTCCGGCAGGCTGTAGATCCCGCAGTCCCGGAAGGACGAAAGCTCGCCGACCATCGCCTCTCCCTCCATTCGAAAGCCCCTTCCCATTTCCCGCCGGTTTTTATAGGGGAGCCGGCCGCGGCGGGACGACCCTGTCAGAGGGGGTTTATCACAAAAATCCATTTCTCACGCCGAACTCCCAGTCCCCAGAGTATTGACATTTTGCACAAATACCAAATAATTTAGAGAGAGAAAGATGAAATGGGCAGAGAAATGAGCCCAAGTTCCAGACGACATCCGGCCCACCAAGTGCTGTCATAGATCTTAATTATTATATATTGATATCTAATTTTACGAGGAGAGGAGAGAGGAGAGAGGAGAGAGAGGAGAAAAGGCTGAAGGGATAGCCCAGCAGCTCCTCATGAAGTCACTCAGTCAGTAGCTAATTAGGGTTCTACCCATCACAGCCATAGCAGATACAGAGAGCCATCATCAAGATAAGGTGTGGGCCAGCAGAGTGGATCCGGGTCAGCTGTGGGTCGAGCTGCTGGTCAACGGGGTGCAGGCCCGCCTGAGCCGCCTTGCTGCTTGGATGAACCCTGCGATCACCTGCAGCTCATCCAATTGCTTTTTGGAGAAAAAAGTCAGCGATTTGACTTGATCCAGTCAGTGGGCAGGGAAGGGGAGGGCCAGCTGGTGTGTGGTATGGTACCTGCGACGTGAAATGCCTCTGGACGGCCATGATCAGCTGCTCCTTGGAGAGTGTGGGACCGGGGGCCGGGCCCACCTGCCACGAGGACCAAAGAGAAGAGGCACACACCCCGTCAGAAGATAATCGGATGCAGAGTAATCACATTCGATATGGGCGGTGGAGATCTCACGAGATTGAAATGCCTCCAGTATCTCCACAGCGCCGTCGTCTTGAGCTTGCCTAGGTCAACTCTCTGCACCCAAAAAAGGAAATCTTTCGCATTACCCATGAAGAAGTCAGAGATGAAGATAAACATGAACCCATAAAAAATAAAAATAAAATTCAGATAAATAGAAAAAATAATTCCAGAATTAGAAGCAAACAGATTGGAGGAGCAAGGGGCATATGCTTTACATACTGTGGTGGGCCAGTCTGATGAAGTGGTGGGTCCCTTGGGTTGAGAACCACAGGAATGAGACGGGCTGAGGGTCCGGTTGGATGAGCCCATGGTTCTGGGTGACTTGTGCTTCTGTCTTGGGGACCTCTGAGTGCACTCAGAAGCTGAGGGATTGAATAGAAGAGAAGGAATTGTCAAAGATCTCATGAGGAGATGATGATGTAGTAACTATCACAATCATAACAATAATAATATTCATATTGTTCATGGTAAAGAAGAGTCCCTGCTTCAAGAGTTTTGTCCAAGATCCTTCCAACAGATGTAATGTAGCAGACAAACTCTGATTGGATGAGTGACATACCAAACTCCTACATCCCATTAAAAAATCATAGAAGAAAGTCAAAACCATACGCACCCACGTCAGAGCCATTCCACTCGACACCCATCTCATCATCCTCCTCGCGGCCAGTTGGAGCTTCAATCACACTAAGAGCATTTCTCTGCAGCTTCACCTCAATGCCATTGGTCAGAACCTGCATTCTCAAATATACACAGCCCACCATCACTTCCATAAAATGATATTTGAGGCATCATATGATTCAAAACTGGAAAAAAAAATCACGGAAAATATGGATCAAAATAACTCTGTGGGATTAGACTTATTCTCTCATTACAGAGATTTCCTAGACTAGAGAGAGAAAGATACATTAAATGACGATATAAAAGGAAAGGTAAAGTCAATAATATGAAAATATAAAACTTTAATCAATAAAATGAAATATAAGACTTGGGCTTATGAGACGAACAAAGGGAGATGAATCCAGTTTAACAACCACGATCACATAAACTAAACCCCAAACCACCCCCCCCCCCCAACCCCCCCCGACTTAACAGGTATTATTCAAGCGTGTTAGAGGAGATATATCAAGCAGCACAAAGTTTCTGACTCAGAGGGCTCATCCTGGAGAGGATCGTACACAAGCCAGAAACCCAGTCATCAGTCCACAACCATGGGAGCTCCAAACCCAGTTATCGATAGAAGCCACACATCGGGTACTCAGTAAAGTATAGTTTCCTCTTCTGTCAGCATTTCTGAAGAGAAAGTCAACAGAATGGATTCGAGAGGTGAGCTATCCATGTCATCCAAAAGAAGGAAAACTGGGAACTTCTCTGCCATGAAAGATGTTGATCTTTCGGTGTACAATAAAGAAAAAGAATGATCCAGCCGTCAAAGAAATAGTAAATATGACATTAAAAACGTATAACACAAGCAACTCCTCATGCATAATTAATGGTAAATCCTGAAGTAAAGGATATAAACCAGTAAATGGGCCCAATTCACCAAATCAAGGACTGACTTTCGTCAAAAATAATATAAAATTCTGTCTGACATCAAAATATTTACCAAAACAAGCAGATTCTCAGAATAAAAGGCATAATTATGACACTTCCAGAGAGAGACACACACAACTACCAAACTAAACATGAAAATTAAAAAATAGTGCAAATCAAAATCAATATCGAATCAAACGAAAAAAGCCATAGACTTTGCATAAGAGTGCAATATATCGAGAGAACCAGAACCTAGAAAAATGGATTTAAAAAAAACTATAAAAAAAAATAAATTGATTAGATCAGGGATTGTCGAAAGAATAATTCCTTCTCAGGAATAAAGTATTGCCGTGAATAACACAGAATATGGAGACTATCCGACGAGATAACAAGAAATCAAAATTGAAAGAAGATGAAGGTCACGATCAGGGAAAAAAATTAGAGCTATTTAAGATAACAAGATAAGGGAAAAAAAAATTAAAGCTATTTAATAGAAATGGCGACCTAGTGCGATTATTCACGTGCAAGAACAATAATAGGGGAGCCAGAGAGTACCCCAATCATCGTACAGGAAAAGAACTCACCATGGGAAGGCACATGCAGATGACATGACGGAGGTTTGCCATAAGAAAAAGAATAATTCCACAGATAATTTTCCCGGCTAGGTGAATTACACTAGATGGAGAATTCAGGATAGCTGCCGCAACATAAAAACAAATATTCCACGACATCACGACAGAAACCCGCAAACGAAGATCAGTTTCTAGATTATCCAAAGACGTCGAGAAGATCGCAATAGCCCGGGGGATCATGCAAATTACAATCCAGCAAGCCGCATTTTCCCTCGTATGAAAAGAACTGTCAAAGGGAAATTACCAGCCAATGCCAGCCGCCGAGCCCGACGGACTTGACGACTCCATGGAGACCCACTAGCACCGACTTCGTCCGGTTGTTCCCGGTCACGACCACTTTGGTGTGCCTCGACAGCGCGGAGACCTCCTCCTCGCCGTTGTCCCAGCAGCTCTGCTCCCGGCCGTTCCCGCCATTCACCGAAGAGCTTTTCCCTGCTTCCAACATTTTTCACCTTCGAATCGTCGTCTCCATCGCCGATCCTCCCCTGCTGCTACTCTTCTCTACGGCAGGTATTTCAAACGGAAGAAATAAAAGAGATCTCGGGGACGAATCCCACGGACATGCAACACATCGAAGCAGATTCGGAATTTTCTGCTTCAAACAGCGAGGAGGACCAAGAAAACCCGCGAATCCGGCGATAATGGGAGTTGGGAAAAGCACAGACAGAGAGAGATAGAGCTGCCGAGAAAAACCCAGCACAGAAGCTCAGAGAGCGACCTCGTATTTTTCTCAATTTCTTCATTTCCTCGTTTTATTTTATTTCTAGGTTTGACCAATAGGGTTCCGACGCGTCGATGTGAAAACGCCGACGGTCAAGATGATGTTGGCCTAGTAAATCCACGGCCAACATTCTCTCGATTAACGGACGGTAGAGATAGCTTCACTTATCGGAATGTACCGAGAGCGTGTGAATTGGCACTGCATGGGCTTGCACGTGCACTTTTCACGAAGACAGGGCCCCTAGAACGCAGAGTGCCACGCGCAACTCCACATCCACAAATCAAATCATGCCACGTAAGATCAAAGAAGGAAGTGCAATAAAACCCTGATATCTAGTTTAATTACATCACAAGCGAGATAGAATCTCAGCAAGTCACATCAAGCAGCAGCAATGCAGAAGAAGAGACTCGAAGCAGATTAGGAAGTTCACCAGGAAGATCATAAAAGCTAAGTGCCGATTATTATAACTTAATTAGTGAAAATACAGATTTGGCAATCCTGATGAACTGGGTTTTTTTTTTTGGGGGGGCGGGTCAACTACTTGGAAGATGAGGAGCAATTCATAGTCAGCCATTGGGTTAGCAGAGGAGGAAGACTTTTGATCTCTCTTTGGTTGCGATGATCCTCCGCAAGAGAAGACTCCTCACCCTCTTGATCTCTGCGCTGGACCTCTCAGCCTTCTCACCCAAATCCTCAATGCTCTTAGTGTACTTGCCCAGCTTCGTTTTGATCTCCTCGACGCCGAATCTCATGGCCTCCTGGTCCATGAGGGTAAACCCAGCAGCACGAACCAGGTGATCGATCTGAATCTCCAGCTGGGCGACCAGAGCGCGGATGTTTTCTAGGTCCTTGATCGCAATGTAGCTTCCGGTGTTCATGGCGTTGACCAACTCCTTCTGGTTCTGAATTTCATCCTGGTAGTTCTTCCAGAGAGAGTGAAACCATTTTCCGGCGGAACCCAGAGCGACTGAAGCGGCGGTAGTCAGCGCCGTCAAGACTGGAGGCGCGGCCACCGCCGCCGCCACCACGGAGCAGATCAGGACGGCTGCAAAGGTTGCCGCGAAGATTATCCAGGAGACCTTCCTCCAGGCTCGGACAGACTTCAGCTTCTTGTCGAGCTTACTCTTGCTAACCAGCAATTTCTCCAGCGTTGACATTTGCCGTTGATAGACCGATTGGAACATCTTGAAGAACTCGGCCGAGAAGGGGTCCCCAGATGCCCTAAAATCCTTCAACTCCTCCAACATTTTCGTGTAACGCTCCTCGCCATCTCCCTGCTCGGCCTCCTCAAAGCGCTGGAGGGCGACGTGGAGCATCTCCTGGCTTTCCCGAGCTTTCTTGAGGCACTTCTCCATGGCGGCGCAGAACTCCAGTGTCAGCAGGCTGTTGTTGAGGTGCTCTTCGACGAGATCGAGAAGCTTCGGATTCTTCCAGATATCCCTCCTCCTCTCGAGGATGACCTTCACGACCTCCTGGTTCATCTCGATCAGGTATCTGGTCACCTCGTTGAGGGAATCGAAGGAGAGAGATCGAACATCGACATCTACAGCAATGGCGGAGATTACGCGGCTGGTGCTCCGCTGGAGAGTCGCATCGAAGGACTTCACCTCGGGATCGAGCCTGCAGGCCACCTCATACGAGCTCAACCCAGCTTCGCCCTCCATTCTGCTTGCGGAATTGCCGCCGTTGGCCACGTTCTGGGCCGCCGCCCTCTTGCTGAGACAGGCCCCCATAGCCGCCGCCGGCCTCTCGGAGAGTGCTCGAGCCCTAACCTCAAATGGGAGGCAAAAAGAGATGAACTTAGACAGATCCCGGTCACCTGGAGGACTCCATTCTCAGCTTTTCCAGAGTAGAAACCAGAAATGGAGCCCTCTGATCATCACCTCCTCTCCACTGATCTGAGCCCAGAAGAATCCCCAGGTAGCACATTCAGAGCAGATCACTGCTCTTGGACGAGGAGATCCTTGGTAGAGAAGTATGGCGGAGAGAGAGAGAGAGACTAAAGCTGGATACCACTTTCTTAGCGGCTTCGTGCATTGTCAGGCTTTTACAAAATAATAATCATAATAATAGAATATCTTCCTAGAAAATATGCCAGAAAAATTGTCATGATTAAATCTCTCTCTCTCTCTCTCTCTCTCTCTCTCGCTGATTATGTAATAATTTTAGAAATAATAATAGAATAAATATTTGAGTAGCTAATTGACGATAGTGTAGGTTGGGAGACGGACTGTTGCGATTTTTTGTTTAAATATTTTAAAATAAAAATTGATAATATACTTTAACCAGGAAAATACTCACAAATGAGAGGTAAAATATTTAAGTGGATATTTTCTATCGATATTATCTTTATTTACAAAATTGGGCCGTTAATGGGCTCGGCCCTGTTATCAACTGGGCCGGATACCCAGTCTTGAGGATCCACTCCTTGCCGCGTTCCACTGCGGCCTCCTCTTCCCATCGGCGGCGGCGGCGAGCCCTCCCCTCTGCAACTCCCCCGCCGCCGCCGCTTCCTCCGCCGGAGAGGCGCACCTTTGATGCCAGTCGCCTTCGCCGGGGATGTCGCCGCCATCGGTCGTGCCGCCAGGAAGATCTACAGCAGCTGGATCCATTCCCTTCCGCAATTGCGACCTCGCGCCGGATCCAAGGTCTCGAAGAGATCCCTCGCCGGAAACCCTAGAAACCGCGGGGGCGATGGCGGCAAGCCAGAGAAGGAAGCCCCGAAGGCTTCGTACATGAGGAACACCATCGCCGGCGTGTCAAGGATCCTGCGGTCTTCGACGTGGGAGGAAGCTCTGGGGGAGCTCCGGGGGCTGCCGATCAAGTGGGACTCCTACACGGTGAACCAGGTCCTCAAGAGCCATCCTCCCATGGAGAAGGCCTGGCTCTTCTTCCTCTGGGTAGCGCAGGTGAGGGGATTCAAGCACGATCACTTCACCTACACCACCATGCTCGACATCTTCGGGGAGGCCGGCAGGATCTCGTCGATGGAGTTCATGTTCCGGGAGATGGAGGAGAAGGGGCTGAGGATCGACGCCTCCACCTACACTTCGGCGCTGCACTGGTACGCCAAGGCCGGCGACTTGGAAGCGTCGCTCAGGCTGTGGGAGGAGATGCGGAGGACGGGGTGCGACCCCACGGTGGTCTCCTACACGGCGTTCATGAAAGTCCTCTTCGATCATGGCCGGCCGAGGGAAGCTTCCGCGATATATCGGGAAATGATTGAGGCGAGATTATCCCCCACCTGCCACACATACACTGTGCTGATAAATCACCTCGCCGGATCAGGTACTATGATCGGTCGAACGATTATCCGCCGCAAGGCCTAACTTCTGGATCTGGAACCGAGATTTCTCTGTACGTGAGCAAGATTCTTCTGCATGTTGATCTTCTTCCATCCACTTCTGCTACTAAGAATCAAAAACAGGCATCGGACGACAGGAACTCAGACGCAGAAGCGGAGAGAAATCTGGGGGTTGATTTCGTTCTCCTTTCTGGAATTCTGCAGGTAAATTCGACGCCGCGCTTGGAGTCATGAACAGGATGCGAAAAGCCGGAGTGGAACCCGACAAGGCGACCTGCAACATCCTCGTCCAGAAATGTTCCAAGCTTGGAGAGACGGCGGCCATGTTCGAGGTTCTCAGGTACATGAGGGAGAACTCCCTCGTTCTTCGTCTCCCCATCTTTCTGGAGGCATTGGAGTGTTTGAGGAAGGCCGGCGAGAGCGACCGTCTTCTTCGGGAAGTCAACCCCCATCTCTCCTCCGTGGGCAGCGGGGTAATGGGAGGATCTACCCCCGATCTCGCCATTAACGATGTCAACTCCTGCATAGACCGCGGCATCATCAACATCCTTCTCTGCAAGCGGAACTTCGCCGCCATTAATCTCATGCTGGAGGGCATCATTCTGCTGAAGATGGAACTTGGCGCGGAGCTCAACGCCGCCATCATCCAGGCCAGCTGCAGGAGTCAAAGCCTGTCGACCGCCCTGCTGGCATTCCAGCTCAGCGTTCAACTCGGACAGAGGCTCGAGAGGCACGTGTACCTCTCCCTGGTGGGACCGCTCATGAGATCCAGCCGCTTCCAAGAGGCCCTCAAGATCACCGAAGAAATGGCGAGCAAGGGTCACAGTCTTGGAGCTTACCTCGCTTCGGTGCTGACGCTGAGGCTCGGGAGAGCGGGGAAGCCCGCCATCGCCACCGAGCTCTTCTCTTCCGCTGCTTCTTCTGCATCTTCTTCCCCAGCTGACCGGAATACCCTAACCTACACAGCCCTGCTCCACGCTCATCTTCAGTCGATGGAGGTGGAGAAGGGGCTCGAGATCTTCTCTCAGATGAGAGAGGAAGGCGTCCCCGTCGCAGCGGGAACATACGAGGTGCTGATATCCGGCCTGGAGATGGCGGGGAGGAACACAGATGCGGAATTCTTCCGCAAGGAGAGGAGAAGATTGCAGAGATGCCACTCCGAGGGGGTGGCTGTTCCTGTGGAGGAGAGCCTCTGTAACTTTTTCTTCGCCGGCGGCTGAGCTCGCGGGGGACTTGAAGGCTTCCTCTCATGGGTTGCTCTGGTTTCTGTCTCTGGTGGGAATCTCCACCCGGTGTCTGTGGACTTCTAGAGAGAGAGAGAGGATTGGCAACAGGTCGGGCCGGGCTGGACCTTTCGAAGTCCGATCCCCATAAAAGCCCGTTAAACAAACCGGGCTGACCCGGACCGGCCCGCCCGCGTTGACATCCCTCGAGCTGTGAGTCGTGACAGGACGACCACGTCGTAGTGGGCCCGCGTGGTCAGAGTCCAGGTGCACATGTGGCACCTCTACATGCGCGCAAAATGCACGATGCAACACGTGCGTACACGTGTGGCTCGAAACCCGAGGTTAGCGGAAGTTATTCCAGCCGCACGAGGATTCTCTCCGCCCACGATGTGAAAGAATCTTTATAGAATATTCCGTCACAGAAATTACACCCCAATATTCTACTTTTTATGGCTTCCGCTGATAATAAATTCCATGCGAGAGTATGTATACATGCATATGTATCCGTATATATATCTAGCGAGAGAGAGAAAGAGAGAGAGAGAGAGTAATCCATGAACGAGCTTATCCAATGCACCTTGCTTGAGAGCTGAAAGCCCTTGATTTAATCAATGATTTGCAGTAACATTGTGAATAGAGAGAGAAACACGACTCTCTCTCTCTCTCTCTGACTCTCAGAGTTCCTGGAAACCGAGTCATTTCGAGCCACCCTCCCCCCCCGGGGGATTTTTTTTCAATGGATCTTGCAGAGGGCCGGCGTGCTCTTCGGCGGGAGGTGTTTTTCTAGAGAGAGAAGACAGAAGACGGAGAAACTCCGCCGGAAAGGAGGGCCGGAAGGGGGGAGCGCACCTCAGGATGAATTGCAGAGGATGAGTTCTTCCCGTCGTCGCTCCGAACGCTGCTCCCGCCGCCTTCTTCGACGTCGCCATGGGAGATGTCGAAGCTCCTCTGTTGGGAGCGAGTCGCAGGGAGAGGGCGCCATTAAAACGATTTCCGCCATTAAAGAAGAGACTTAGAGAGTGATGGCGAAAGCTTGGAGGGCTTGCCTTGGGTAAGCCGGGGGGTGGAGAGCTGTTGGCGTCGTCCAAATAGGAAGAAGCTCCTTCGTCTTCTTCCTCGCTTTCTACCTCTTTCTCTCTCTCCTCACTTCTCCTCTTCTTCTGCACTGAAGAACTGTGGGGAGATGAGAAGAAGACGCCGCTGATCCCGTCGCACGGCGGGCGGCGCCGGCGGCGGCAGCGGCCGGAGGAGGCGTCGGAGACCATCGACGGGTCATCCTCTTCCTCCGCAGTCCCCTCGTAGGACTGTCTCAGGTACAGGGTCCAACCAGACTCCGACCCGGTGCTGCACTCCGAAGAAGAGGGCTCCCCCTTCATCTCTTGTCCGTCTTCCCCACCTGAACTGACTGCTCGAAGCCCTGTAGATCTCACAATCTCTCTCTCTCTCTCTCTCTCTCTCTCTCGCTCTCTATCTATCTATCTAGCTATCTATCTATCTATCTATCTCTCTCTAGAGACGAGACAGTGGGGACTGCACGTCGGGGGTCGTGCTTCTTATTCTTTCAGGTTTCCCCGTCGGAAAGAGAAGTTGAAGACTACGGTGGAGATATTGAAATATAATGTGCAAATACATGCGATATCTCAAATAATCGACATTTTATTTGATAATTGTTAAAATATCCAAAAAAGGTGGGATTTTTAACAGAGGCCCACATCGCCAAGGCCCAAATAATGCCGTTATTGGATCTTCCCTTCTCTTCCAGTGACCCCATTCTGGGCCGTAGTGGGCTGGGGCCGGTATTAATCGCGTTGACTAAATTCTGTACATTTCAGCCTCCTGGTCTTACCCAGAAAGGAAATATTTCACAATATATTATATACCCCATCTTCCCCCTGGTTTATTGATTCCTCAGAGGAACCCCTCGAGGGGGGAAGAGGCCATGAGGTCGTGGGCGGCCTGGAAGCAGTCGGCGGCCTGCAGCAGGGAGCCCTCCATCTTGTACACGCGGCCGAGGCTCAGCCAAGCCACGTGGCTCATGGGATCCAGCTGGAGAGCGTTCATCAGGAGGCTCCTGGCGGCGGGCCGGGCCCTCCGGCCAAGCCCGGCCAGCAGCGCCGCCGTGGCCACCATGCTGGGCGCGTGGTGGGGGTCCAGCGTGGAGGACACGTGGAAGGCCGACAGGGCGTCTCCAAGAAGCCCCCTCGCTTCAAGCAGCTTCCCTGTAATAGAAACTATCATCATTATCATCATCATTTAAATCGGAATGAACATATTTTTTCAGGGGAGAAAATATTTCCCAATTTTCCCACCTCTTTCGTGCCAGCATCTGGAGGAAAACCGGGAGATTGACTTTGCCTTGAGGAGGCAGATCTCAGAGTCAGACCAGGAGGCGAGGTCTCTGTAGATGCCCGCCAGGTCAAGCCAGGCGTCCATCTCCAGGTCTTTCACAGCCGCCGCCGCCTCCTGAAAAAAAGATTTATAGGTAAAAAAATGGCATTTATTCAGTAATTTTATGTGGGTTTTTCAGGGCAATTTGGATTCTGAGGTGGGTTGACCTTGGGGTGAGGATATCCAGCAAGATTTTGATTCCTGGCCTGAATCACGGCTAGCAGGAGCCTGTAGGTCTCTATTGCCTGTCCTGCTTCTCCCCGGAGGCTATGGAGGAGACCTTTCAGCCTCAAAAGGCCCAGCTGATCACCTTCCCCTGTCTCCTCCAGGGCCAAGTCAACGATCCCTTTGGCGTCCTCCAAGTTCCCCTCAGACGCCGCCGCGAGAACCAGTAGTTCCCACCCTCTCACCGAGCTTCCCGCCACCGAGTCCAAGTACTTGGCGGCGGTCATCAGCGCCGCCGCCGGGCTCCGCCGGAGGGCGAACTCCCACCCGAGGGTCAGCATCACCTCAGGATCATCCCCATGAACTGCGGCAGCATCTCCGAGGGCCCTCTGCGACTGCTCGTAGAAGCTCGATCTTTCAACATCTGAGGACGATGATCTGGCGGAGCGGCCGCAGGAGATCCCCAGCAGGTGGTGGGCGACGCCGGCGAGCTCCGGCCGGCCGCCGGCGAGCTCCACCGCCCTCCGGGAGAATCCGACGCCCTCGCCAGCGAGCTCCCGCCGCCGCCCACAAAGCTTCGCCGCCAGCAGGAGAGACGGCAGATGGGGAGGGCGCCGCCTCTCCGACGACCCCGTCGCCTTCCTCAGAAGGTTCAGACCTGCTTCGTCATGGCCGGCGGCGCTGTAACAGAGAGCGAGGAGGTACCACCTCTCCCGCCGGCAGTAGCCTCCCGGCGGCGCTCGCTCGATGTGCTCCGCCAGGTTCTCCGGCAGCCCGTATATGGAGAGCGCGAAGGAGAGATGATAGACGACCTCGGGGTCAAAGATTATCTCCTCCTCCGCCATGTTCTTGGAGAGGATGAACAGAAGCAGCAGGGCTTCCTCCACTTCGGTCGTCTCAGCGCCGCCATGCAGGAGAAGTCCGGCGAGGCACTTCTGGACGGTGGCGAGCTTCTGCGGAGGTAAATTCCAGGGCCTGGAGAGGACTCTCCGGTGAGAGTCAACGGCTTCCTTGTGCGAACCGGCGACTTTCCACAAGCCCGGGAGCAGCAGCAGCGCCTGGTGGAGCATCTCCTGAAGTTTGCAGTCCTCTCCGAGCCCCTCCGCCATTCCATCCGGGAACGCAGCTTCAGCGATGTCTAGTATGATCCCACATTCCCTCGCCGCCTCTGCAAATTTGCGAAGAAATCGATAAAACCGGGGAAGTTCTTCAAGTCAACGTTTGGAGGAACGGAGCTTTCCCCACCTTCGACCAGGCCGAGACCCTCCAGGGCCTTTGACTTCAGGAGAATGGCTTCTAGAAGCAGGCTGACCGAGTGCATGGACATGACGCTCGCATGGAGGATCTCCATTTTAGAGCGGGCCCTCCTCCGTCGGGACCTTTCGACGATGGCCCTGGTCAGCTTCGGCTTCAGGCCGGCGATGTCGATCCCTCGGAAGACTTGCAGGGCGGCGTCCAGGTTACCCTTCTGGAATTCGAGCCGACCCAGCAGCGCACGAGCTTCCTGTCGGAAATAAAAATTCAACGAGATCGAGACGTCAGATTTCACCATTGTCTTCCACCGAAGGGGAAGGATCTGAGGACGAAGGTGACCTCATAGTTCAAGGAGACGGTCTCCTTCAAGGTTGACTCCACGTCCTCCACCTGCGAGTCTTCGAGCCTGGACTCCCATTCCCCGGTCCTCGAGGAGACCCCGCACACGGAGAAGTCCCTGGTGGCGAGGGACTCCGGGGACGGCGGCCCCTCCTCGAATCTGAACTGCTCTCCGGAGCAAGCGCACAGCATGATGACTGATGCGCGAGAGAACAGTCAACGGAGAGAGAGGGAGAGAGATGAGAAGAATGCCGTTCTCTCCGGGGTCTCAGGCTCAGATCAGATGCTTCGCCCGTGGTCACCGAGTGCTTTGAAGTCCTGAACAATGCCACAGGAATCAAATCAGCCGCGAAATGGGGAGTGGGTGCGAGAAAATTCAGGGGAAAACCCAGATGAATCCACCGAATCTACAGCATGGAGGGGAAGGGGAAGAAGCTAGAGAGAGAGAGAGAGAGAGAGTGGATGGATAGATGGATTCAAGGGCTCAAGAACAGCAAAACGGAGGGAGGGACTCCAAATGGAGACAGAACGGAAACAAAATCCAGATGAATTTCCCTGATCTACCGCAATATAAACCCAGATGGGGGAACACATCCGCCAGCTACCCAGAGAATCAAAATACCCAGTTGGATAGAGAAGAAGAAGCAGACGGGAGAAGGGGAACCTTACCACCAACCCTTCTTTCTCTTCCACAAGACGACACTCGACGATCTCTGAGCCCAGCGGAATCTAATCAGAACGCGGATAGGAATCGAGTCGGGAGAAAAGACCACTCGCCAAATACAACGACCCGGCTGGGGGTGATCTCCAGAAGCTTGGAAGCTTTATCAGAGCCCGGCCATGGGGATACACGAAAAAGGGCTGAAGAAAATGCAGACGAAAGGCGCCCGCCGTAAACGAGGAAACCCGAAACAGACAGAACGTAGACGGAGCCCGACCAATGCCCGGAGGTACCCAGCAGCCTTCTTCTTCTTCTTCTTCCTCCTCGATGGGTCGGTCGTCTTCTTCGTTCTTACCCGGCTTCTCCTGTCCGAGATTTGTCCGACCTGCAACAGTGAGGCTCTTGCACTCTCTTCTACTGGTTTGAATTCAAAGTGCGGAATGAAAGAGCTACTGATGGCTTATCATCGCCCTAGCTTCTAGGAGCTACCGCCCGCAGCTGGCCCCACGCCGCCATGGAAACCGGTTGCTTTCCCCTTTCCGCCATGGGAATAGGGTTGCAGGGGATTCAAAACGGTTGATTTACAGGCAGGATTCTCTGATATACTTGGCGTTTGCGTACGGTCCCAGCATTAAAGTAAATAATTACACAACATCCCACAAAAAGTATTATAATTTCGATCAGGGCATATCACTTTTGGATTTGTACAAAAAGCACTCTTCTTGGTAGACATTCTCTATTAATTGAGGCCCCGCACGGTGAGCTACCTAATATACATTTTCTCAGGGTTTGATAAATATATCCTTACCTTCTCCTGCACGTGTCGTCATAGTTGACTTCTTGACTCTCCAATTCGCGAGGACCCCGAGGCACATGGCTGTCGTGGCTTTGTCCACAATGCGACTCTCGGACATTGAAGTTACGATAACACCCCGCCGCCGGCTGACGAGGAATCGGATGCTTTTCCCAGCAAGAGAGCCCACGGCCCAATTAAATACGCCGATACGTAATGCCCTCGTTAATGGGCCGATAAAACACCTGAAATTAATAAATCACCAATAGACCGGGGGTTTACCAACCCGACCCGAACCGGTCCGGCTCATTGAAACCAGAGAGAGAGTTAGAGAGAGAGCAGGGATGGGCCGAGTACGGGTCATCATCTTATAATTTTTTTCCAAGTTCGTGGGGGGGGGGGGGCGTGTGCAAATATTGCTTTTATTGCTGAATCTGGTAAAAAAAAAAAAAAAAAACCTGAGCATAATAACCGGCACATGTGGGACCTGCTGTATCCCGTTGACTTTTCTGAGAATCTGCAGCCTTTGCCTGTCCCTCCCCGTAGAGTCACCGCCCCCTGGTCCCGAGGATCGGCCGTCTTTTCGTAGGCTTTCTCGTTCGGGGGGCATCGGATGAGGATGACGTCATATCATTGACTTGAATAGGCTGACTGAGACTGACGTAGTTGACTCTTCTGCAGACACGGTAATGGGCCCGGATAATCTATTCGTACTTACAGTTAATGGGCAGGTTCTGAATCCCATCAATCAGGCCAGAGAGGGCACGTGGTTAGTCCAAAAGCCCAATCAAATACTGACCCAGTCAGATGTGTTTGTCCTTTTTAAGACGGGATTAAATATTGGGCCCGACCGAAGAGCATTGGGAGTGTCAAATCGCCCAAACTAGTCCCCCCGAGTCCTAAACGGCCCAAGAAAGGTGCAACACAGTTTCTATGTCCCTCTAGCACCTGATTTGGGAGACCACAAGTTCCAAAAACATAGGGAATCTAATGGTCTGATCTCACAAGTTTACTTGATTGTCAGTTTCTAGCCATTGGATCCGTCTGGGGTCATCAACTTACACATTAACCATTCTAATTTTTTTCTTAAATCATAATTAATGGTTTGATGTTGGGTGTGTGGTACATAATTTTACTCCACATAATAATTATTTAAATAAATTAAATTATTTAATTTTTGCATGCCTATAGAAGTTTGAAAAATGAAGAAGAATTGTTTGGAAAAGGTTGGGAAAGGACAACTTTGCCACTAGGTATGATCACTAGGGGAGGGGGGGGGGGGGTGTAAAACATGGTCCACGCACACCATGAGATGAGGGATCAATTTGTGGCGATCTACAAGGGTAGTTGAGATGGCCGATGACGATGTCATCATGTTATGGGAGATGTTTGGAGGCTTATGACAGATTGATGTCGACACATTTAGGCAGATGTGAGTGGTGGGCAGCAGGGGCGAGATTGGGATGGCGAGAGGAGGAGGGAGATTAGGAAGAGATATTGGGGAGTAGTAGTTAGGAGGTGGGTTAGTAGTATGTGCAAAGGGAGCTCAATTGTGTTGGGGGAGTAGCTGGGATGAAGGGAGTGAGGGAGTGAATACTTTAGTGCATGTGGTTCTAGCTGTTGATTGTTGAGGAGTAAGTATAGTGGCATCTGGTGATGGTTGTCAAATGATTGGGTTTGATCTTGAGCTTTCAGGCGGTCTCTACCTCATTGATTGTTAATTGTTGGTTGAATATGTGGGACGAGTTTTGACTAAAATTTTCTATTGTTGGCGATAATTTTGTCAATGGGGTTTCTTTCTAGGGAAATGACCTTCATGACTTGAATTTTGAATGCAATTAATGTTACATTGTGGTTCAAGAATTTGCTGATCTTAGTTCCTTTTCTTCGATGGTGAGTTCTATCGTGCTTGGATAAGGATATCCATGACATTATGTTCTTTTTCTTTTTACCTCATGCCTACATCTTATGAATCAGGTTTGAGTTAGATGAGCATGAATTTAGTTTCAACTAATTTTTTTTTGATTGGCTGTCAACGAAACTAGATCCATAGAAACTAAAAGAGGATGTGCATTCTTCATGCATTTTGTATTAGAATGATGGAGCACTGTTATTCATTCTCATCTCAATGTAAAATGAAATATGACATCTTGTTCTTATGTTTTTTATTTATGTTATTTTAATTACCTCTAAAATTGATTTCTATTCATAGACTATGAAAGTCCTTATGATTGTAGATTTTAGATTTGGTAGCTCAGAAAAAAAAATCTTTAATTGGATTGCTATTAAGTGTTTACATCTTGTTCTATGGTTACCTCTCCTTTAGCTTATGGATAAAAGAAGAAAGGGAATGAAGATCAAGAACAAATATCTAAACTTTCCATTTTGTACTAAAATGCAAGCATCATATCCCTTTTGCATATCATGTGTAGCTTGGTGGGATGCATCATGATTATCCATTTCTAGATGATCTTCCATTAAAATGATGTCTAGAAGATTCAAGTGCAATTAAAACAAGTTTCTACCACCAAAGAACTCAGATAAATTAAGGAGAGTTTTCATTTGCCCATGCCCAGAGGTAAAAGGAGAGGATTAAAGAAGCCATCCACTATATTTGATGAATAATTGGATAACTTCTCAAAGTTACTGAGTTTCTTCTTCCTTCATAGGAGAAAAGTAGTAGACCCATCAAAGGAGAGGAATTAGAATATGTACTTCTATCCTGGAAGGTAATAGTTAGACACTAAAAGGGAATTTATTTCAAGCTCATTGAGGAGGGCTACTGTCTGTTGATAGTACAAGTACCTACCACTAGTATGGAGAAAACAAAGATGACCCAACCTACCAAACTCATAGAAAAGTAACTGGACATGTCAATTTTATTTCTAATATCCATCATGAATTGTAACACTTTTTTTAGTCTTTATAACTATTTTTATCCATTATTCTGTCCATTAAAATTAAAATGTGCCTCATGCATCTCTTCTCATTGTTCGTTTTCACTTATAGGTGTTGTTTCATTATCTACTTCGATTAGAGAGAAAACATACAAATCAATAATTTCCTTTTATTGATAACTTGTTAAGTTATGGAAACCAAATAAAATTATATTTTTATTGTGAATGATGCTAAATTTCGATAATCAATGAATGATATATGAATATACCGACAAATGAGATGTTGATGTGTACAAATATATCTTGTGAATTACTCTTCAACAAGCATTCAACCAAACAAGGTGCCTACATGTTTTCCATGAAGGAAATCATGTGGTAGTGCTGGGGTATTGTTGGTTTATGTGATAGTGGATATTTTCTAAATATTTACACCAGATTGACATATAATAAATAATCATTTTATCTTGTTAAAATTTGGTGAGTACAGCTTCGGGTTCCCGCTGTGGTCAAGGGTGTCCGTGTGCTGGCACAGGAGGTAGCGGCTGCCGGAGGAATGGCGAGGTGCCCAGTAAGTGGTCTTCTTGTTCTCGTTCTTCTTCTTCTTCTTCGTCGTCGTCGTCTTGTTCGTCTAATGACTGGGTGGCTGGATTCTTTAGTCCGTTCTGATCGGTGAAGCATTCGTCTGCTGCTCATATTGTGAATATTATTATCACAAGCCTTATTTGCTATATCCATCGTGTGCCATTTGGCCCTTTCGGTCTCTATTGTCTGTCTCTAGTTTCCTCCACAAGTTGAGAGAGAGAGAGAGAGAGAGAGAGAGAGAGAGAGAGAGAGAGAGAGA